TATTCTTTACCTTTATACGCTAGAGGCTAAAGCCTTTTTTAACTACCCATAACCTTACTCCCGAAAATAGGCCAAAATGCAATTCTCTGTAACTATAGCTTCACCGACTCTGCGCCACTAACGTCACAGATTTGTCGACTCAAAATGTCAGATCATTGTAAAAAGAGGGTAATGATAAGGTAAGTAATGGACTTTGCTATCAAACCACGACTCGTTCAGTCTTTATCAAACGGCGCCTTTCTTTAATGGCGAATTTCCACTCTTTAGCAATTTTCCAAGAAAGCAGAACCCCAAGCCCAATGAGAAGCCCAAACGAGACCAAGATCGCCAAAACGCTGACACCAAGCGCCAATCCCTGCCAGTTGGCACCGCCACCAGTTTCAAGTGAGGCCACCACCTGCAGTCCACTCAAGGTCACAGAGGTGATTCCGATTGCGAATAAAATTGGTGCATAGAAGCGTGCGAAGTACTGTCCGTATTGGAAGTCAACTCTCTGAAAGTAGGATTTTCGTAGAATGATCGGAGCGTAGAAGTTCAGGCGAGTGAGGCGTATTTGACCATAGGCATAGCGTAGAGAAACATCCTTATCTTGGATCTTATCAAAATCAGAGGTGAAGTCGCAGAACTGCTCCCAAGAGATGTTTTCTGGAATAAGACAAAGAGTAGGATCTTTGGCGATGCGAAAGTCGGATTCGTGCCGGATAAGATAGAAATATGTGCGTAAATAACCCAAGGCAGCTCTTCGAATACGCACGTCTTCGCTCGTATTGCTACTGCAAAGATGCTCTCTCCAGAAGTCGTGGGATCCGATGAACCGTGGAAGAGGCTTGATGAAAACACGATCGTTGATCCATACGAGATGTAGCTTTGGGTTCTCTGTCACGATAATCGACCGGCCTTGTAGTAACTGTCTATGCAATGGCCATATATTTGTGCTATCTTGCTTCGACATCCACCAGAGCTTATCCGAAACCCGATCTAGATCGTCTGAGCAAAACTCAGATGTGAGCAGCTTCCTGATCTGATCCCTGCTGTGACGAGGGACGCGGGGGAAGCCTGGTACATAGCTGCTCTGTTCGTCACGAAGCAAGGAATGCTCTGGCGCAAAGGGCGGTTTAAACATAGTGGGAAACATATCGGATATGTCACTGTTAGAAAGTTCTGATATAGATCTCCAAGGATGGCAACTTATTACATATGACGACGAGCCCAATGCCTGGTGAAAGAATATTCATCAGCTGGACGACTGATTATGAGGCTGGAGTGCCACTGAGCCTCAGCGCTTCAGGTCGCAATGTTATTGGCTGACATTCAGTGCCTCGATGTAAGTTCAAACCCCCTGTAATCTGTCCTTCTTGAGATTATTAATGAATAAGTCAGTGTTGATCCTGCCTGTTAGTAAATGCAGTCTGATTTAACTATCCTATTAACTAAGTTAACATTTCACTTAATACACTGAAGCAACACTTGAACGATTTGTATAAGCTAATAACATGTATACTGCTAACCTGATAATCGTAGATACTTGTCTTATTTTATCTTTGAGCAGGCAGGGCTTAATATTCCTAACCTCAATAGTAGTTTAAGGATCATGGCTAAAGACACTATAAATCACTTCAAAATTAGCTTGTTAGCTGATTGAGTAAGTCTACATGATTATATCATAAGCCTGGAACGGATATAATTGCAATAGCTTGTGTTCCTTCAAAGCCGGTGTCTTTCCGGAGCGGGGAAGCTTCACAAGGCTGAACCCCGGCACGCGCCTTTGATCATCATGCCATATTAAATTTCCGCCGGTTAATTAAAACAAAAACTCTACATTTAAGCAGGGTTAGCTATTGGCGGAGTGTTCAAAGATCGCCAATCATAACCCACCTCCACAAGACTTGTTAACGTTATTACACGACTCGCTCGGCTATAAGTGAAGTATGCTACATGAGCATGTTGATCACCGAGAAGCTGGAAGTCTCGAAATGAGGAGCAAGATTCTGCCTAAACTCTAGGCTAAATGGGTTTATTTTATAAATTGGCATTTTAAATCTCATGAATGCATAATCTCAAGACTCAAAGTCAATGTTAAATGATTATTCTATGCAACGTATCATCAAGAAGATGCGCTTGTACTCTATTTTCCTCTTCGCGGTACGCTTATCGGTGGCAGCAGATATCTTCGTTGATCGACGAGGACAAGATCACAATACTGGGTCGGCTGGGAAGCCCGTCAAGAGTATTAAAAAAGCACAAGAGCTCGTTCGTGAGCTCATTCCGTCCGCCAAGGATGGCATCACTGTACACCTAGGCCCAGGTACTTGGGAAATCGACGAGGCCATCATGTTCAATAATGAAGACTCGGGTATCAATGGCTTCACAGTGAAATGGGCAGGCTCGGACACCATCATCTCTGGAGGCTATGAGATCGGTCATTGGACTGAAGGCGATAACGGGATTTGGTCCACTCCAGTCCCCAAGGGCACAAAATCCCGTAATCTCTACGTAAACGGGTTCGCTGCTCAGTATGCTAGACGGCAGATCCATAATCGGGCGGATTTTAATTACACCAAAGTCGGAATGACCTGGAACAGCTCGGATTACGACTGGATCATGAAAACCCCAGGCATCGAGAATGGCGAGCTTCGGGCCGTAAATTCCTTTACCGATCGGGTCGCACTCATCGAAAAGGTTGGGGATCGCGTGCTTGGGATGAAGAGGGATATTTGGGCCAACCAACTCATCGGTTATGACCAAATTGCAGAACCGTTTTGGGACGGAGGCGTGTGGATTCAGAACGTCAAAGCCTTGCTCACTGACGGCGGTCAATTCTACCTTGACAGAAACGAATCGACCGTGTATTACAAACCGCTAGACGGCGAGGATATGGATACCGCATCTGCCTATCTCGGAATCGAAGAGGTCCTCATGGTCGTCGGCGGAACCTATGAAGAGCCGGTCCACGACTTGCAGTTTGAAGGAATTACTTTCAAGCACAGCACTTGGCTGAAGCCGGATATCTATGGGTATATAGATCAACAGACCGGTGGTCACATGGGAAATGATAGTCTGTGGCCCAATTTCGAAGCTTCGAGGCCCCATTGGTGGCAGATGCCCAGCGCGGTCCAGGTTAGTGCGGCATACAACATCACAATGAAGTCGTGTACTTTTCGAGAGCTTGGAGCTGGAGGCATCGGTATTGGAAACGACAAGAACGCGCACGTGACGGGCGTTGGGCTTGGGGCAAACAATATTCTCATCGATGGCAATTATTTCACGCAGGTGATGGGGAATAGCATCACCGTTGGAGGTATACAAGCCGATGCGCATCACCCATCGCAGCCAAAGATGCTTGTGTCAAACATCCACGCGTCCAACAACATCTTCAATAACAATTCGGTCTTGTGGTCATCCACCGTCCCTATTCTTTTCACATACACGCAATTCTCTTCCATCACACACAACGATATCTATAACCAGCCATACAGTGGTATTTGCCATGGCTATGGTACGGCCTGTACTTCCCTGACGAGTAAAACTGCTAATGGGTTCTAGGCTGGGGAAGTAATGATGAAGGGGGTAGTCCGGAGTACGCCCAGCGAGGTCTTTACAATTACCAGCCGCTCTATGATACACCCACCGTCATGAAGAATAACTTGATTGAGGGAAATCTGATCCATCATTTTGGTCAATCTCATACTGACTTTGGAGGCGTATACACGCTATCACGGTCACCAAACACAACAGTGTCGTCTAACTTCATCTATGACGCAGGGTGGCAAGCTATGTACCCTGGTACGTCGCTCACATAAGTCATCATAGTATTTGCTGACACTGAGAACAGATGAAGCGTCGAGAAACATCACCTGGTACAATAATCTGGGTTTCACCTCAGGAAAGTATTATGCGCCAAACGATTGGATTCCAGAACAGCTCACCGGATGTATGTTCACCATCCATGCATGCCAGAAAAAGTGCTGACAGGACCAGGGAACACCGTGATTGATAATTGGGGCAAGCTCGGAGTCAAAGACAACGAGATCCTAGATGGGTTCCCGAATCATTCCGGAAGACGCAACAACACGTTTCTACGTAACTACCTTGCGCCCTACGTCAATGGAACAAGCCTCATTGCACAGAGGGCTGCATATCGTGCCGGTGTTGTCCCGTCAAAACGTAAGGGAAGGCCCGTCACAAACGACCCAGATATCGCGGATGCGTACCTAGATTTTAAAGTCAGCGATAGGCATGTCGCTGTTTACGTGACTAATTTTGACGATTTGGACTTCAAAGACGTTGTTTTTCATATCTCGGGTCCTGGTGTCAAGTTTACAAAAAGGTCAATCCCTCGCTTAATCCCGGCTGATAGCTCTGCAGCGGCGGTGTATACTTTCTCTGGCTCTCCGAAGGGGAACGCTACAGCCAGAGTAAGCTATGTGAACCCGAGGACCCGAGCATATAGCATACAGAAAGGGTTTTCTCTCCAAATGTAGTAAGGTATCTAGCCTGAAATGCATGAGCATGGAGGAGTTATTACTGGTCTGCTTCTCACAAGGTGTGAATGGAGTCTGATTAGCTGCCTGAGCCTAATCTAGGGTGTCCGCCCCGCACAAGTAAGGGCTTGCTGTCTTACAGAAGCCTGTCTTTTCCGTCCAGTAACATCAGAATGCGATACATTAATCTTTCTTCACAAGCAATTATCTTTCTAGCAAACGAAAAAAGCCGTGAAAATGACTGTCCACTGTAGCTGAAGTTGTTCGCGAACCCCCTTCAGCTAACCCTCTTCAGCCTGTATTTGCCCATCCACTTCGGTCTCATGAACAACACAAAAGTCCTAAACCCCATCGCGACACCCATTGCCAACCCAAAGCCCCAAGCCAGCTTGGTAGGATAAAGCCCACTACCCGCTTCCCCTGCATGCCACGCCTGCCAAAACAAGAGCATGACAGCCATAGCTTCGAAAGAGGCCAGCATCTGATACGTGATCCGCCTCGTCTCTACCGCCCCAGCTTTATTCGGGATCCCAAGTACTATCGGTACCGTCATGGCGGCCATGCCGATGCCAAACAGTTGCATTACTGGGGCAGCGAGAGGGGCTGCAGACGTGTCATTGGCGAAATAAATTCGTCGAAATGCCTTTTCCGCATCGAATACCATGGGGATAGCCAAAAGGATATTAAAAGCTGATTCAGTGGCCGATATGATTCTGATAATTGTGCCAGGCGCCAATGGATCGATCTCCACTGATAGTTTGGCGTCCGTTCCGAGGCGTTTGTTTGTGTTTGCCATAATTATGTTTCTGGGGAATGATTACTAGGTGTTTTTTTAAATAAGACGGGATATCCTGTAGGGGTAGAAACCTAAAGTCCTGGGAGATTAGCTGTCTTATAAACATGTTCATAACCAGAGGTAGAGATAAATCAGTACATTGCCTTCCAGCTTAAACCGCATGACAGTCTATTGGACCCATATATTCCAGTATTCTGAGTGGCCCGGGAAGCCCGGATAGCTGCCATAGCGTAAAGGTAAACGTTATGCTTGACGTTATGCTGGGTATCCGGGCCCGAGGAATATGTTATCCACCTATATTTATACTTCCGGAGTAGTCCAAAGCCGGGGCATGGCCTGTACATAAAAGCCCGTGCACATTGGCCCAATGTGGAGATGTCCACATGATAGTCCGCCAAGATGCGATTGTTAATGTCATTGGGAAGGGTTATGGATGTATCACATAATGATTAAATTCAAGATATAGAAAACTTGTGGTTTATTACTGCTATTTTATCTTGGTTGAAAGATGGCCGTGATATCTGGCGTTGGGTTTAACTTGTTCAATTAACCGGACGAAACAATCTCGTCTGATCTGTGTCCAATACACTTTCTCGGGTTGAGGGCCTTCGTCTCCTTTCATTCTTGTTTACTGCCATCTGCTGAGTTTATTACTTCATCCTACAGTTAGTCTTCAGAGTAATAGTCATCTCACTGGAGTAGCAAGAGACGTCGTAGCTTGGTTATCAGCTAAATATTTATCAGAAAGATATCTCAGATACCTTTAACACTTGTTGTGTTCTTTAAACTTTAGCAACGGCAACAATAGGGCCTCCAGCACCCCCTTCCTGAACCAAAACAACAGCATTCTGCCCTGGCGCCATTGAATCCTTGGAGGCTGGAAGAGACACTGTGACATCTCCGCCAGTCCACGTCCCAATCTTGACCACATCCGTGACAACATTGCGGTGGTCAAGCTTGACGCCCTTATTGGGTCCCTTGCGGATCTTGACCTTCTCGTCAGTGCTTCTGTAGACCACAAGAATAATTTCATGATCCGCCACCATTACAGCGTCAGAGTCAATCCTGACATCTGTGTCATTTGTATCCAGGTAGATGTGCCAAGGTCTGTTCATTTGACTGGCCCTGGCTCGCTGCACAATCTCCTGGACACTGTCCATACCGCCAGCACCGGAGCCATCGGCAACCCCATTGACAATAACTTGTGGGAAAGAGAGGGTCTTGCGCTGCTGCTTCATGGCGTATGCTCTTTGACGCTGGTCCCAGGCTGGCTTGGCAAAGGTATCATCCCAGCCCAAGTGGTTGAACGTCGTGACGTTGAAAGTCAGGAGAATGAGGTTTGGGTTGTTTGTCCCCTGGAGAATGGCAGGAATGGCAGGAGGACACGCCTGGCAGCCTTGAGATTGAAAGAGTTCGACCACGGCAAGAGGCTCAAAATCAATAAAGCAGGCAGCTGTATGAATGTGATTTGGATCATCGCCCAGGGGATGGCCCTGGTCATCGAGGGAGATGGAACAGACGAGAGGGGGCTGCTTCTTGCGGCCGAAGAGTTTGCGAAGAATGGTAGCCATCTTGGGGACTAATTGGTAACGCAAGAAACAACAAAGAGAGTTGAGAATGGATCAAATATTTTCTGTGAATGTGTAGAAGAGATATGAGTAGGGTAGGGATGGAATAGGTGAGGAAGACGGGAGTTTATATGTATACCATACTCCCCTAAGGCTTGTCAATGCTAACTGAGAATGCCAGAGCCGGACTAGATCTAATGGGCATTTCATTGCGATGCCGCGATTCGCTAGCTGAAGAGAGAAATCCTTGTTTCAGCTGTAGCTTACCGCAGACGCATGGAAAATTGCTTAAGGAAGTGGACTTAACGGTGTCCAAGTGTGAAAGCACAAGTCTGGAGAATGACCAATCATATGCCTCACAGGTCACAGCGAGTGTTGCACGCGTCCTCCGTAGTGGAGCTGTCATCAAAGCGATACCGAGGCGACTCGCATTCTCTTCCCCAATGAGGAATAGCGCATAAATTTCAGTCTTTGAGGCTGCATTATCATATTCAACGTCTGGGCGCGGTATGATGACCCAACCGAAAAATGTAACACAGCTAATGAACCCAGGAGAGTTGCGCCTCGGGGGGGAAATGAGAGCCCCCCAAGTCAGCATGGCGGTGCTTACCGTCCGGGCATCGGACTGCAATGTAAGCTCACTTGATTCACCTATCATATTGTAAGATGTTATATTTGTAGCTGAATCTTATCTCGGCAGCTCGATCTCTCCTTCTTCAAGTAGGCTAAGGATTGAGGCCCAGTCTTATTTGCGATCTCCTGGGTTATCCCATGGGAACTTTGGTTATAGTAGGCAAGGCAGAAGCCTGCCCACGACTTGATCTTTACCACGGCAGCTCGTCTACGAGAGACATTGGATACTGAGACTCAGTAAGACGTAGACCTGGACTACTTAAGAGAAATCTATATTTATTATATTCTGTTATATGTATTAAGTAAAGGACAGATTAAAAGGTAATTAAGATATAAAGTACTTTATAAATCTTTATATTAAAACATTATATCTTAAAGTATTTATTATTCTCAGTCCCCTTACGAAATAATATCTTAATACTATAATATGGACTCAAGAAGTATGTCTCAAGACGGCTACACTAAGTGACAATTAAAATTTCTAACCTAGTTCAGGTAACCCTATCGGATTGACTGGATTAACTGGATCAACAGCCCAGAAGCAAAGCCCTATGCAGAACCAAAATTTGGTAAAACATCTGTCTCGGGACTTTCAACTATGTTTTTTGCTAACCTAAGTTATATTTTAGAGTCAATCGCAAAACGACAAATTGTCAAATTCTCACCAGGAGGGAAATAAGCAGCAACAGGAACAGGGAAACACTACTATTCAAGGTCTAAGCCCGCCAGATTTCTTTTCATTTACAAACGCAAAGGATACATAGACATAGCTTCGATACAAACTTGAACTCTTGAAAGTATAGTATAATAGAGTCTTAACCTTTTCAATATATAATAAGACAAGAATTAAAAGTCTATTCAACATCTCCTAACTACTATCATCGATCCCAACAAACATCCCATTGTCTAACTACACAGCCTGCTTAAAGACCATTTGATTCGAGAAAGTTGGTAATGACTCCATAGGCCTTCGTAGCGTTATGGTGGAAATTGAAATTGTGGCTCGCATGTGGGTGCAAGTATGCCTCAAACTTGGCATTCTTCCAGATAGTTCGTGCCGGCTCTTCAAAGATGCCTCGACAGTCTCCATCGCAGATAATGTAGTCTGTTTCTCCAGTAATAGCCTATATCTTGTCAGTTTCATAGTCTCACGTTAGAGTTAGAGTACTTACAAGAGCAGCGTCAGTGAAACCACTGGCGTCAAAGTTGCCATCCGTAAGAGTCAGAAACTCTCCGATGGCGAATGACTGCTTGTACTCTTCACAGTAGGATGCGGTAGGAACATCATAGTACGGATACTTAAAGTAGCTACAGATATTTGTTGTTAGGAACAGCCAAGTAAGAATAGTGGCCAAAGCTTACGTATTAATCTGCGCAATGGCATCGACCCAGGTCAAATATCCTGGATCGAGTGTTCCGAAACGACGGGGGTTCTGAAGGGATGCGACTCGGGGTACGAACGAGCGAACCAAGCCATTGGCGTTCAGCCCAGTAGTATTGTAGTTGATAGCCGTCAAGATAGCAGCGTCTGCAAGGGTTGGGTTCTTGGCCACGGCAAAATGTGTGATGAATGACTCAAAAGAAAAGCCCATAACGGCAAGCTTGGCAGGCTTTCCGAAGGTTCCTGTGTATTGACCCGACTTGACCATCTTGGCAAGCTGAACGAGGATAGCCTTTTGCTTACGAAGCTGGTTTGTGAACCCAGATACTCTGTGTAATCAGTTAAGCTGACAGCCTGTATATGGAAGAAACATCACCTACTTTTCAGAATCGCCCGTACCGAGGCGGTCGTAGAACCAGACCGAGTACCCTTTGCTGATAGCATGCTGAACAAAGTTATACTTGTCGGGCTGGTAGGCAGAGTTCCAATGAGTCCGGGCCTGCCCGATGCCATGAGTCGCGAGAATAATAGTTTTGCGACCCGAATGCTTCGGAGTGCAGAAAGATGCAGCCAGAGTGTAGGTAGTAGTCTCATTCTGGGTGCCAACAATGGGGCTCGGGTATCCAGCACTCTGACGGGTTGTTGCAGCCGTCAGGAAGTCTTGGAGAGCATAGTCATCTTTCCAGTCCGGGAAGTTAAAGACCAAGTTCTCAGAGGTAATGGTGACAGGGACTTGGTACTCCCAGCAGTTGGCATTGAGCGGGTAGTACGGTTGAGTAAGCCTAACGGCGCTTGGAGCAATGGACTTGGCGACAGCAAGGCCATGCATCAGGGAGGATGTAAGAAGGAAGAGAGAAGAATGCATATTGAGTATTGAAGCAGTGGAATATGAACAATGATTGAGGTGTGAATCTTGTCGGTGGTTAGTGTTGAGAACGAATAGCACAGATGCTCAAGATGCAGCTCTCTTATAGAAGTTCCGGTTTCGAACATTGTGGCTGCAGTGGTAGGAGATCTTTGAAGCTGTATAGATTTGGTATTATTCAATCTCGCTGAATGTATCTAAAAGCGGTCTAGTTCTATGCACTGTACCCAAAACTGTCAGTGTCACCATCCAGTCTCACTCAGTCAATGTGCGCCCGTTGCCGGCCCCCACTCTTACAATTACCAAAGCCAACCATGCAAAATTCCACACGAAGTTTGGTCAGCAGCGGCTGACTGCATTTCAGCTGGGTCAGCACTAATGTAGGCGCTACGGATGCATGGTCCATGTTGCAGAGATATATAACTGACTGCCAACTCCAAAAGGAACGATTGCGCGAGCAGCCGAGGGACTTACAGACTCTTTAGTGCGAGCTCAACTCAAGACCCGAGACGGGTTCTGATTGACACCTAGAATGGTTGGCGTTCCAGGTCAGGTCGCAGCAAAGGCTGTAACACTTGTAGAAAGCGCCGAGTCAAATGCGGTAAGATCTGTTCCATTACTCCTTACCACGCCGAGTCGCGCCCGATTGGTGATGCTGAGTGATTGGCTGCTCCTAGATGAAACCAAACCAGTCTGTCTGCGCTGCACGAAAGGGGGGTTTGAGTGCTTGGGATTCAATAGAGAGCGAATCTGGCACCATGTGTCGACGGCGCCTTTGCCCCCAGACGAGGCGACCCTTCAGCGAAGTGCCATTAAATCAAGCCACAAAGACACGCCCACAACCATGAGCCGAGTAATCTCTCCGCCTCCCGAAATGAGTTTAATTGCCTTCCAGGGAGACTTCTGTTTCGCTTTCTTGTTCTCTAACTTTGTCTGGCGAAGCTATGGAACACCATGGCTTGACCAGGCCGCGGCTGGGAAGCTTGGCAGTCTCTCCCTGGATGCCACGAAAGCGCTTTCTCGGGCCAACTTTGGGAGATCTAACCACAAGTCAGATATAGAGCTCAAGGGCATTGTGCAATATGGAAAGTGCTTGAGCACATTGGCTGGTGCACTGGGAAGCAGCACTACTCAGAGACGACAAGAGTTGCTGATTCCTATTCTTGTATTACTGATGCATTCTGTCAGCACCGAAGCTCAAGCTTCTAGAGAATGCAATGCTGACTTTGCGCAGGCATCCTACTCTGACCAAACTGGTGCCGTGTCCCATCTCCGAGGGCTCGCCAGACTGCTTCATCTCTGTGGACCGGAGGCTTTTCAGGAGCAGCCTTTTCTCAATGCGTTCGAGGCAACAAGGGCGACTTTGGTAATATCAAACTAGTTCGTTGATTCCAGAGTATGATGTTAACTCAAAATTGCAGCTTGTAGCGAGTCTATATGGCAAACAACGCCTCTTTCTCGAGGATGAACGCTGGAGAATCGTTCCATATGAACGCAACAATGCATCCAAGACGCCGCAGAGCCAGCTCTTGGACATACTAGTCGTCGTGCCAGGTATTTTACAAGACCACTCAGCATTGCGGACTATGGATGAGGATGGAACACACACGAAAGGAGAGCTGTTGGCAAGAGTTGAGACCCAGATGATTGCCCTCTACCGCTGGCGATGGCAATGGCAAGCTCACTCCGGAAACCATATTGAGTCCGATGTCAACAATACGCCCCAACTGAATGGCCGAGCAGCTGATGCTCTGGGTTCTATTGGTTATTCCAGACAATCAGGACGACTGAGGTTCGGCAAGTTCGCACTCGCAACAGACCTCATGCTCTACAATGCTACGCTGATGTGGCTCATCGCGCTTCAATGGAAGATCGGCCCTGTCAGCGCAAGCTCGCGCATTGAGGCGTGTGCTAGTGCTGCCATGCCCGATGAACCAGCCACTAGATATCTATCCTTTCAACCCCTTCGACGACCCGGCGCTTCAATCACAGTGCGAGATCCTGCAATGGAAATCTGCCGAGTATTTGAATGGGTAACTAGTCATCATTCTCGAAGCAAGGAACCCACGTTCCTGTACCTCTTCCCGATAGGGATGGCTATGAGTGCTCTAGAGGCCGAGGCCGAGCCCGAGGCCAAGGCTTGGGTGACGGACCTACTAAATAAGAGCCCAATTACGGCTAACTATGCCAGTGGGCAGAACGCTGCTGGGTTTGGTTTTTATATTACTCCTGAAGCACTCAATCCGGAGGTCGACATGGCAAAGCACCAGCTATTCTCTAGTCGAGATGTACAGCAGCTAGTAGCTTAATTGAGCTAAGAAAGAATTTTCAATAAAGATAGAGACCCAGGGGCCTAAGGTCAAGCTGTTTTCTATGTTCACAACCAGAGGGAGAGATAAATCATTACCTTAAGTTAGTATATAAGAATTCCGAAAGTTGCGGTTGCTGACTCCAAGTCTAATGTCATGATTTGATATTTACGAAATCCAGCGCCAGGCGATGAGGGATGGAACGATGTGGGATGTTGCTTGTGGAGATCCTAGAACTTTTGTCAGCAGATAGCACTAGCACTAGCCTCTACGATTGGACGAGTATATAAACCGAGGTATAACTCATTCAAAATTTCAGAACAGGTTTTAATGTTACTGTTTCCATCTTGCCTCCAAAACCACTCATCATGCCCGTTGTAGCTATTGCAGGAGGCACTGGCAGTGTTGGCCGCTTCATCGTTGAGGAGACCATCGCAGATGGCAATTTTGAGGTCATTATCTTAAGTCGAAAGGTTTATTCGTGACGGTCTGGTGTTGGGACTCCCCAGCTAATCATCTCTACACCCAGGTCAACCATCACTGGAGAAAGAGCTCGGTTCTCGCATCCTCGCTATCGATTACTCCAACCCCGATTCCATTGCGACGTTGCTCGAAGAAAACCACGTCGACGTCGTGATTGCCGCGCTAAGTGGACATACACCTCCCGAGCAAGAGCTTGGTCTCATTCAAGCGGCCGCCAAGTCCAAAGCCACCAAGCGATACATCCCTAGTGTATGGGGTATCAAGTATCGCCCTGAGCAATCTTGATTCTTCAACGCCGCAGCCAAGCTGTCCCTCTTTGATTCACTGGATAATACTGACTTGGAGTGGACTGCGGTTGCGAATGGCTTCTTTCTTGATTACTGGGGTGCCCCGAATCTCAAGACATACTTAGATCCGCTGACTATAGCTCTGGACATTCCGGCAAGAAATTCTGCCATTCCAGGCAATCCAGATCACCCAGCGATCTTCACATACAGCAAGGATGTTGCTAGGTTTACAGCTAAGCTCTTAACACTGGAGAAGTGGGATCCAGTATCGTATATTATCGGTGATAGGCTTACGTGGAAGGAGTTTGTGAAGCTCGCTGAACAGGCTACTGGTAGGAACTGCCCGCTACTCTTATTACAATATCCGGCTGCAAGAACTAATAGCTCTTTGCAGGCGATGAGTTTGAGATCACTTACGATTCAGTCGAACGGCTCAGGTCAGGCAAGGTTACATAGCTTCCTGGTCACATACGCGTGTACCCCTTCTTTCCAAAAGACGCATGGCAAACCATTATGTCCGAACTCGGTGTCTTTTTTGATCAGGGAGGGTTCGACTTTCAGCCAGAAAAGACTCTCAATAGCCTTTTCCCAGAGATCAAGGTCACGACCGCGCGGGACGTTTTGGATATTGCATGTAGGAAATAGTCTTATCGTAAACTATCAGAGCTCTTAACAGGTCCTTGAATTTCTCTCCCTTGAATGATTCTTTGAATAATCGGAAGCCAATTGCGCGCCATCTTCATAAAAAAGAAAGGCCTTTAATTGTTTGTAAACATCGGTTTTTAATGATTCAGTCCAAACAGTTCCTATTGTCGTGAATGTCAGGTTACCGAATTAGGTAAAGTCGAAGTCCCACATCCCACATCGTCCAGTCATAAAAAGCCAACATCCCACATCGCGCGTTTTTGTTTACCAAGAATCGTAAGGCTAGCAAGGATATACTAACCGAAAAGCAAACATCCTTCATCACACATCGCGCATCGGAAGCAATTCTCTTCCATATCGACTTATCATTCAAGAATTCCGATGTCTTCTGACTTATCCCGATTTCACTGTAACTATACGGGATGCGCGCGGTCCTACAAGAAGAAAGAGCATCTCTTACGCCATGAGAGGGATCATTTGAACCTACGCTTATTTGCATGCACATTATGCCCAGCTACTTTTAACTGAAGGTAGCGCATTCTCATCTGACTCAGTCCTTGCTGACACATGCTGAACCTATCAAGCGATCTGCTCAAACGTCATGAGGCAATCAGTCATCAACTCGAAAAGGCTTCTGGACAACAAGTAGGGGGTACAGCATTAACCGAAAACGCAGGATATGAACCACACGAACCTAACCCTGTCTGCGAACTGGGCGGGTCCCCTGTTGGCGCATTGGATAGCTTTCTCAACACGAGACTGTAGGGTTTGAATCTGTCTTCAAATCTAACCATGCAATTACTCCAAGGATCATGTCAGGATGAGCTTGTAGCGTCTTACTTTCTGCACCTTCACCCCCACTGGCCACTATTACACAAATAAACTTTCTTGCAATCAAAGTCTCCTCCGGAACTGACGGCTGCCGTTTTAACCGCTGGATTGTGGGTGCTTGATACTCCAGAGACTAGGGACAAAGCCAGGTTTTATCATGATGCCTTGCTAAAGACGCTTTACGAGCAACTTGTGAGATCAATGATACCGATTACAAATTAATCATCTGATATATATACAGTTCAAACTTCCCGTGCCCACCACAGGCTCACCTGAACCCCGCGCCGAGTTCCTGCCCGCGTTCCAGGTTCTTCTCATTCCCCTGATCATCTGCACCTACCGTGGGGCAGAGACATTTCCATCTGCTTTGTTCAATAGTAAGCAGGTATTGAACTTATTTAGTTCCTTTGACGTCTATGATCAAAAGGCAATAGACAATCGAAACCCAAGTCCGATGATACGCGAATGCTACCAGCGGTAAGCCACGTGCTCCCTTACTCGAACGTGCTGTACTGATATGGTGAGACTGGCCCTTCTGCACTTCAAGGTGCACATCCATCTTAATTCTATCTTAATTAGTCAATTCTCGCAGTTCAAGCCGTTCGACTACTTGACACCAAGCATGCTCAGAGTTCGGATTCCCTCGTCGGGATCTTCTTGGGAGGGTAATGACGGGTCACCTTCCTGTAAGGAACATGGATCTATGACGGTCGCCGATCTGCTCGATCCGTGTACTGAATTCACTCGGATGTCGGATCTTATAGCTTGGGACTTTACTCTAGGGATGGTCATTGGGTGTTACCTAGTGAGACCGGCTGGGGAGACCCATCGTCAATTGATGATACGGTTGGATCCGTTTTGGTTTGTACATCTAACCAGTCTCAAAGACTATGCATAGAAGTAATGCATTTGTCGCTTCATTATCTCCTTGCAGTACAGTAGTGCCCCCCTTCAATTTCAGTCAGTTATGAGTCTTGACCTTGTGTTTGTGAATTCAATTTACCGGCTGACATGTCATCGGTACAGGGTATTGTTATTGCCTGAGAGCTTTTATTCTGTGATCACCTGACAGGGTCAAAAATTGGTCTATGATTAATGTGCTACCAGCAGTAAGTCACGTCGGCCCTTACTGTAAGGTTCTGTTTTAACATAGCAAGACTGGCCATCCTGCAAACCTTACATCACCTTACTAAAGCACATTCAGTATAAACTAAGTTCTCGTATTAATGTCCTTTTGAGTTCAAGATAGAAATATACTTTATAACAAAGACGACATTCCTAAACTAGCTAGATAAACTCGTATTCCAATATAGTGAAAACACCTTTAAAGTTTTATTTAAACTATAGTTATATAAGATGCCGTAGTATCCGCTTCTGGGATATTAGCTTTATCTATCCATAGACTCTTGACCAATTAGAAAGAGACATTATTAGCACATCACAGTATAGTCTATGTCCCTAGAACTGAACTGTAATGTAGATAAAGAGCGGTCAGGGTTAAGGTAAGTAAGTTATGCACTCATCACTCCGTAGATGCCGAGACGTAGACCAATCTGAAGACATCCAAGGGTATGGTTCTTGGAACGAGACCATAGATCTGCACTATAAAACCTCAGGCTAACCATCTGTCTTATGGTTTCTTTATTCGACTTCAATTACATCCTTCTACTGATCTTGGCTCAGCTACGATTCTCTATTCATAAGACAATATGTTGTTCAACGGTGTGTTTGTCGCGCTGTTTGCAGCCTGGACTATCTCTGCAGCTGCAAACCCAGTCGCGGAACCCCAGCCCAACGATGCACGCCTTCCTGATGTACGCCTCTCGCCTCTCGAGGTGCGAGCTTTAAAGGAAGCTCAAAAGTATCCTCCAGGCTACGTTCATAAGAGAGTGACACTCGGAACCGGGAAGAACGCCAAAGAGGTCCCTATCGTTGAAGCCGATCCCGATATGCTTCTCCATGGCGAGAAGGGGATAAAAGCACGTTCCCTAGCACCGCGAGGAAGCTGCCTTAGTTTCCCTGCGTCATCGTCAGGTTGCATGATCGACTACTGCTGGCTAGACAACGACGGGAATACATGGTCGAGATTTATCACCATCAGCGGCAGCAACGGGCGGTCCAATCCGAGGTCTGTGACAAGCAGTGACACGAGCAAACTTTCATTCAATTCTATATTTAACAACGGCTACGGCGGCTGGTTTCCGGAGGGCCATGAATGCTCCAACTCGGACACACAGATTTACACCGATCACAGCCTGTCCGCAGGCATCAAAGGCACAGCCTATATCAATCGTGTCCAGTGTAACAACTGCAACTTCGGATTCCTTCGCTGCCTCTCGGATAGCCTTAGAAACAACTTGATTGCTTATTCTAACGGCGTAAGCTCACAGTCATCTTGTACCTGATGAGAGATCATAGTCAATCCATGGTGATTGGAAGCAACGGCGACAAAATGATGTGGGATAGCACCTATTGACTCATAGCGGGCTTCGCAAGCATCGGCTAGATGTATTTACTTTCTTTGAACCCTTTTTGTTACAGGCCTTTTTAGATAGAGAATTGAGTCTTTCATATTGCTTTCTAGGAACTTGGGTTCATCGTCGTCAATCTATGGACCTTAAAACTAAAAAAGTCCAGGACTTGCGAAAACAGCCATATTCGGCATGAGCTTATCAAAATGCCACATTGTCCCGCAAGACAGATGTGAATGGAGTCTTATGGATTTCTCCTCCCTCAATCTAGCGGTGGGCATTTCGTTATAGTTATCTATAAATAGACTCCACGGAACTTCCCATGCATGGCCCCGGTGGGATTGGCCAGATTTCCATGGCGTCCCCACATACCTGTCAATCTAAACCTAGCGTGCTTGAGTCGTGCCGCTCGTGTTCGGGACCTTGGCCGACTCCGAACTGGAATCTTGGCGATACCTTCGTCATTCTTCTGTTATCAATCTTCAGACTGGACTGTATTCACTACCTACGACCCATCGCCACACCAGACGACAGACTATTCGACACTAAACACGCCACTTTAGTCTCGGACACCAGCTGTCGCCTCTGTGCTTGAGCCACATTCATTCGAGGGACAACCAGGGTTCTCATTCGTCGTAAGATTACTGGAAACGACCAATCCGCCGTCAGTTCTGACAGCTTCTAGCCCGCGGCGACATAAGCGAGCATGCGCTCGCAGCACCACTGCTTCGTCAACGTCCCAATACCCCGCCACATCCCCCACCAAGCTGTCCTCGACTACATACAGACCTACGAGCCTGTGTTACGCCACAATCCCGGCATGAGATCATGGGAAAAATCGGATCTAGACTATGCACTTGTCGCCAATGATCGATTCTTCGATTCATCAGATCCAGGGCAAAGTCTACGCTGTTATCAGGCTTACGAGGTCATGAGGCTTGGACCGGGAGTTCAGAGGGATTTAAAATGGCCGATCGTCTTCCAGAGAGTGCCGAATGGCATTGTATCGAGGGCAGATGCGCCTGCCGGGGTAATTAGCTGGACGCAGTGGTATGTCAGGCCTAGGCCGAGTGAGGCAGCGACGGAATCTGTTAGCACGCCGAGTACAGCTACACCGTCGAGTTCGGGGGATGAGACCTGGGAGGTATACGGAATAGTGACCATCGAGGCGCATAGGATGCTGATGCCATGGGTTGCTATGAAATCGGAGAGCTATCAGGTTGCAATTGGGCAGGGGATGGTTGATGATGCATGTTCAAAGTTTAGTTCTGGAGAGATTTCGTGACCATACGAGATGCATTAACTGAAATAGAACAAGTATCTCAACGTCTTTCTCATAATCCTCCCCGGTTGAACTCTGGTCCCATCCTCTCAGCTGACATACGTTATGACTCAACATCTCTTCGGCAAAGCTCTGCGGCGGGTCGGCTTCTGAGCCAGCTCAATCTCCGCATTTCGTCGACGAACCAAGCCTGGGAGCCGTTGGCCACTGGCGTACACCCACTGAGGAAGCTCTTGTGAGATTACGGTGTTGGGATCCTCCCCGTTATTCAGACGCCCAACAAGCGTGGACGATTCAGCATCGCCGCAGCCCATATTGAATGCCCAACTGATGAGTGCGCCGTACTGGTTCCTGTTGAGCCTTGCTTTGCTGTTCAACATGGCTGTGATACAGACTTCGAACTCCTACAGAAGCGTGCTTGGTCAGTGATAAAGAGCCTCCCTACTAGTGACGGGAACGAACCTTCATGTCATCTGCTAGCAGTTTCTTCCCATTCGCGACAGAAAGTGGAATGGGATACTTGACTTCACTGCACTGAGGCGCGTCACAAAGATGACCATACCCCACCGTCGGATTGCCAGTTGGATCATTGTCTGGTATCATTAGTCTCAGACCAGGGAACAATTATCTCCGAGATTCGACTCACAAACATCGGGCCTGAAGCCCTCGAAGCTGGCGATGATATTGACAGTCGCCGCATTCGACTTGGGTGCTCTACACGAACGGCACTTCGAAGTCACGTACCCACTTGAACCTGTAGCGACATAGTAGTCGGAGACGTAGCATCCAAATGTCGTCTTGTCCCAGAGGGGGTTGCCTTCAATGTTGGTGCCCTCAGTCTGGCAGGTGATAGTCACATCGGTACCCTTGGCGAATTGCCGCTGGACGGCGTGACTTGTTGTTGGACCATTGCGGCATCTAACGCCTTCGTCTGTGATGAGAAACGCAGTGCTAAATGCGACTGCAAGAAGCTGAGCGGCGAGAATGTTGACTCTCATGATGGCTCAATGACTCCTGAATGGAAGTGTCGGACGAAATAGTTGTTGATCTGAGAATACTAGAGTATATGAGTGTCTGTCTTATATTCACAGGCACTGCCAAAGTCGTTAGACAGGGCGCCGAAGGTCGGCCATAGGGTCAGTGGATAGAAGTTCGAATGAGGCCCGAAACTGTGCACCCGGTAGGCCTTAGCCGCTCTTAATCCATAGGGGTAGGCAAGGGGTTTCGGGAAGCACAGTCAGAAGTAAAGATGTTTGTGCTACCCCGAACCTTCATTCCGAAGACCTCCTAGCCGTATTGAGAGCTCGATGCAGATATGTTGAATGCAGTGAGCTTTAGCTTGCTACGTGTAAAGCGGAATATGCAGTCTCTGGGGGTAAGGCCCGAAAAATATTTCCGAAGTCTCTCAAATTATTAGAAGTTTGGGGTTGGACGAGCTTCCTAAATTTGTGCTATGTGACCCGAAGTGTCGAGAATCTCTATCACAAGACCTGGGTTTCGATTCACGTTGTTGCGAAATAAATGGGTGTGAAGCAATGGCTGTTAAATGAATTTCATTTGCTTGGACTGTAAATAATGACTATCTAGCTACAGCAACTGTTCTCTATGATTTCCTTGCCACGTTTAGTAAACATAACGGAAGTTGAGGTTCTTTCTGTCAGTGACATCGGAGATCTCGAGATGTTCCGTATCATCCTGAAGACCAGAGCTCGTCTGCTGGAGCTTATCGCGTCGCTTGTTCTCGGCGATCAGCACGAATCGGAGAACAATCATAGTAATGGTCGAAATGCCGAAGCAGATCGTCGTCGCCAAGAAACCGCTCTAAAGTCATGATGTCAGCTTTGTTCCAGATAGACGCTTCGACCACAGTGACTGGTTGACTTACCGAGTATTCGGGTGCCTCGCGGGCGAAGAAGAGAAAAGGGCCGATGATATTACCAGTGGTATATGCCATAAACATCATCGCGGAGGCAACGCTCTTCTTGGTAAAGCCAGCGACGTTGGAAGCGACCATGGACAGGGAAATAGGGAACCCAGCAGCGAACGCGACAAAGATCCACAGTCCAAAGAGTCGACTTCCTTGGTTGGGACCGTAGCGAACAAGAAGCGAACCAGCCAAACTGTTACGGTTAGATGGTGAAGTCACACGAGGTCGGAGATGCTTACCTGATCAAGCTGAGGCATGCGCCGATAATGGTTCTGTAGCCGCTGAAACGACTGCAAAGGTACGTTGATCCGAGAGCGAAGAAAGCAAGGATGGCACCCATGGGCATGTTGAGGAGATAGACCTGGAAACGGCTGAAGCCGAAGCCGGCCATGACAAGACTACTGAACTGCAAAATGTTAGGTAATTGCTGCAGTTGAGTACGGGAGTCACTTACAGTGGTATGTGCACCATTGGGAATGCTGAAGGCAACTTGGAAGACCATCAAAAGCAGGACATTGGGGTCCTTGATGACCTCGCGGACTTGCTCCCACTTAAAGCTGTTGTTCTTCATGCCCGTTTGGTTACTTCGAATGCGGTCGACGGCATCGATGCGTTGTTGTTGATCGAGGAAACGTGCGTTGTCGGGAGTGTCGGGGAGGAAAATGGCCAGCACAATGGCCCAGACGAGGGTGATGAGACCGAAGATGATAAAGAGCCACTGTATGCAAGAGTTAGCTGTTGTTACCCAGCACAATATGCGGACGATGTGAGACTTACACGCCAAGACTCAAGGGCGCCGCCAATATGAGCAATACCATACGCCAACAGACCACCAAACGAAGTAGCGATGGCATTGCCCAAGAACCAGATACCGTGTCGGAAAGGCTGTTCCTCACGCTTGTACCACATTCCAGTGATGAGGGAGAAACCAGGCGAGATGGAGGCTTCTGCTACACCGAGGAAGAAGCGAGCGACGAGAAGACCAGGAAAGGTTTGGACTGCGGCGTGGCAGCAGAGGATGATGGCCCAGGCGAGGCTGCGAAATGTTAGTGGGAGAATCGTTTAAGGTTGGAGAGTGTTTACCTTGATCCAGCGAGGTACTTGCCGAGGGGCAGACGGACCATTAGCCAGGACGCTGGGTAGCTGAACGAGAGGTAGCCGAAGTAGAAGGCACTGCTACACCAGCTGTATCTTGATCCAACGAGGTCCTGTTCTTGTTAGTGAACGGTAAACACGTCTTGATCGATGTATACTGACCAAGTCATCAATGATGCCCATGATAGAAGCAAAGTTTAGAGATTGCTTGTCAAGGAACTGCAGTGTATATGAGACGAGGAGAAGGGGCATAAGACTTGACACCAACGTTAGCACTCGTTCTTTCTAGTTTGAAAAGACAACTTGCCAAAGATCGATCCTTCTCAAGACCTTTCGTCCTCTGTAGTGGTTATCAACGCCCTCCTCCGCAAACTGCATTGACCCCTGAAGACTCAACGTTTCACCCATCTTCGCAACAGGGTCCTGGGCAGGAATGTTGATCTTGTCTTCTCTATCAGAAGCCATACTGTTGAAGAATATCTTGTAAGTGTTAGAATAAGAGAATGAAGAACAAGTGTTGATGATTGATGATAAAAGGGAGGACTGGAAGCCAGTTAAGTAGATATCCAAGCGAGCATCTAGACCAGTGGCTTTATCTCTTGATCACAAGCAGTATCCACCCCCGCATAAACTCAAGATAAGTCTGGGGATACTATCTCAGCACTGACGTTTTGATCAAGGAGGGAGATACCATTCACGTCTGAAAAATTGAAGTCATTCCACTACCCGTTTGAAAGAGCCGTACTGCTAGTTTCTCCTGCTCGGATATCGTTGTACGCTCATTGGTTGAATCGGCAAAGAAAGGCTTAGGCGTTGCCGATTGGCTGACTCGGCAAAGTGATAGTGTTGTTGCGACGGACCCGACTCTTTGGCAAGCGCCGGAATGCAGGGGATGGTGAAGATTTGGTGGGTGTTATTTAGTACGCTGATAGTTGCCCATCATCGCTCCGTGGCGTAGATAATGACGATGCATTATCTTGAACGTCAGCGACATGCATATGCGGTCTTATCAAATGGGCGGTATTAACGGTGACTCAAAATGGAGATACAATGCGATATCCTTGCTCTCTTGATAACGACGGAATTAGAATTACATAACAGTAAAACTATGGCTTCATTATCTCATTATTCAGGGGATCTAGAGTCTATAACCAATCGGCTCAACATCCCTCTTAAACTCGTCCCTTGCTTGGTCCATCAACTCGGTCTGAAGCAGCATCTCACAAGCCGTAGCAGCCAATCCCTTTGCACAGTCCAAAGCTCTCTCCAACGCTTCTCTTGTTCCGGCAGCTTCTGCAAACTTGGGTGTGTGCGGTTGCACCAAAGGATCTTCTGTTCCAACAGCGAACATGGGATGAATGCCTGGGACGCAGTATGTAACGTTGCCTGGGAATGTTAGTAAAGCTGAGAGTTGAGGAGGGGGCAGTGTACTTGCCCATGTCTGTTGATGCGCCCATCGGTGGTTGGTTTGCGTCGCCGATGTAATCTCGTCCGAATGCTTGCATGTGTTTTGTAAACTCGTTCGACATGGACATGTTCGGTCGAAGCTCCATGTAATCTTGGTCTCTGCGAGTTCGTTCGTTAGTATAGCTTCCATAACCTTCAAGTAGCATTGACTTACGATTCGCAACTGCACTGCACTTCGCAACCTGTAGCGAGCGCCCCAGCTTTGAAACAAGCCTCGACCCTTCCCGTAAGCTCCTTGATCTGATCAGCCCCAGCCGCTCTCAAATAATACTCCAGATTCGTCGAATCAGGAATAATATTCGGCTCAGCACCTCCATTTCTAATCACTCCGTGAATTCTCTCTGTAGGCTGGATCTGCTGCCTTAGGAGGGAAATATTCACGTATGACGAAACAACCGCATCGAGCGCATTCTTTCCATGCCACGGCATATTCCCCGCATGAGCGTTCTGCCCCGTAAAAGCCACTTTTATCTGTCTTCTCGCACTCGACCTCGCTGCTGAAACGCCATCTATATTCTTCTCTCCCTGCGGCGACAGTCTCCCCGTCGGGTGAGCCATCAGACACGCGTCTACGCCCTCGTAGGCACCAGCTTTGATAAGATGCACTTTTCCACCACCGCCTTCTTCAGCTGGTGTTCCGAGGAGGCGAACGCGGCCGGGGATGTTGAGGGAGCGTATTGTCTCGGCGGTGGCGATGAATGCGGCGGTGGAGCTTGTTGCGATGAGGTTGTGGCCGCAGGCATGGCCTAGGCCGGGAAGGGCATCGTACTCGGCGTTGAAGACGATGAGTTTGCCGCCTTGGCCGGATTCGACTTCGAAGGAGGTTTGGATGCCGTAGGCGGAGCGCTTCACGGTGTAGCCAAGACGGTGCATGAGATCGCAGATGTTGTCGTGGGCTTTGAACTCTTTGTAATTGAGCTCTGGGTTCTCATGGATCTAGAGATATTAGCGAAGCTCCTCCAAAGCTGTCAGCGTGGTGCGGTGTACCTTTTTGCAAATTTCTGCCAAGTCTTGCTCATGATGAGCGACGGAATTGGAGATCGTTTCGTAAAGCTGCTCGTTGGAAGACATCTTTCTCTGTTCGTAAGCGCAATAAAGTTACCCCAGGAAATAAACTACCCCGGGCATGGCCAGGTTATAAGAAAGAAGCTGCGGTTCTAGCTCCTGTGGGTCATGACACAATCCGAGCTGAATTTCATGACGCCCGTTCGTTGCATGAATCAGGAAACTCCGCGAGACAAAAAGTGTCCCGATATGGCTATTTTCGGCTAGTTTTTGGGTAGCTCACAGGGGAGTTTCAGGGGGTCTGTGTGGCAGTTTTCCGACGGGTAACGTAGACCGACGGCCACTAAATTAGCCGAGGGATCCAATGAGAAGTTGAGGATGTGTTATCGCAGGAGGACAAGATTTTCTCGGGAGGGATCAATAGGTTGGTAATGTCCCTGATGATGCCGATTTCTGTTGGTAGAGGAGATAACGAGGTTGCTTGAGGTGATGGACCTAGTCTTGGATACTTAGGGTAACTCGGATATACGGTTATAGAGCTGATATGATAGAGTGAACAATGCAACAGGAGCTGCAAAGACTTGGAAATAATAATCAAGACTAGCTATTTCCGTACTAACACAAACTCAATTCATCGGTATCCCCTCCCGACATCCCTCGCTCATCCTTGGAAACGTCCCCTCATGCAGTCATTATCACAAATTTCTCCCCAATCCCAGACCCAGCCCCAAATACCCCCGCAGCCTAGACTTTAACGCTCTGACAAAGAAGAAAAAAGCTGATTCAGTTGCATGTTGCATCACAATTACACAACACACGATCCCATGTTATCTTCCCGGCGCGTCTGTATTCCCGAGTCATATCTCCGCCCGCCATGCCCTCCCCAATCGCAGATCGCCGAAGAGCGCGTTCCAAAAACGGTACGCCCGGAACACCACATCCTTTCCGATATCGCTGCTAACAAAAATATTCATCAAGGCTGTTTGACATGTCGAATTCGAAAAGTCAAGTGTGACGAGCAAAGACCTGTTTGCAAACGCTGTGAGAACAGCCCTAATAAGTGTGAATGGCTCGAACCAGGCCAGGCACTTAGTGCAAGGGGGAAGAGGGTCGAGAGTCCTGCGTATGGGAGTCCGCGGTTGCTGGCGTCGAGTGAATCGCCAGCAAGTTTTGACTCTGGAAGTCCTGTTTCGCCGGCGAGCGGTCATGACTTTCACTTTCCACGGTCGCATTTGTCAGCGGCGCATATACCGCTTGCGAATTCACTCCAGCTGAGTGAACAGGACAGAGCGGCTTTTGCATACATCCCTTATTCGACTATGGTGGTGAGTTATGGAAAGCTCTGGCAATGGAGTAACTTTTCGTATATCTATACCAATATCGCGAATGTGTATCCCGGCGTGATGAGGAGTTTCATCGCAGTCGCGAACATGGAGCTACGAGCGAAGGAACTTCTTATTGCGCAGGAAGTAGTCGATGCTAGTGGCTCGCTGGAGAGGGCGAGTCGCCTTGCAGCTGCGGCGGCGGTGCATTATACACAAGCGCTAAAAGATCTGTCATCGTTGTTGGATCGTATTTGTCAGACGCCAGACCAGGACTGTGATATCGATGCGTTGTTTACGATGTGGTTCCTGATTTTGAGATATGAGGCTTGTGATTCGGAGACTACGGGGGCGTCGTTGCTGCATCTCGATGGAATACGACTGTTCCTGAGGCCGTATTTGCGAGATGATGGACAGGCGACTGGGAGGAAGTTACCGTGCGTTGCGCAGGCGATGCTACTGTATACATTGTAAGTTCACTGGCTATAAGAAGAATGTTACTTGCTGACAGATATAGATACCTCGATGCGGACTCAGCAACAGGCAACATGAACAGTGGACAGTTCTGTCTTGACTTTCTGTCACGCGACGCTCATGACTACATCTCACATGAACACCTTTTCCTTAGCGTTCGATCTGCTCTTCCCAAGATGTGGGGTGAACAATATCCTATATCAGAACTCCTCGACGATATGGAGAATTATCGCCCTCTCCGCTTGTATCACCTTTGTCAAGGATCTAAACTTGAGCTTCTCAGACTAGCACGGTCAACAACTCACGGTGGATACGACGATCTGAAGAAACTCTGGCGACATGTCGAAAACTTTGGTGACGTATGACAGCTTTCTACAAAACAAAAAAGGAAAATCTTGCTGACGGCTACAGGAATTTGCCGACATCCTCCTGCTAGCAAAGAAAACACCCTCCTCAGGCGGAAAACGCCTCATGTGGACAGTCTACGCCGCAGCCCTCGACTTCCACGCCCTACAGATCCTCTGCTCCAGCCTCGACACCTACAACGAAACACCTTTCAAACCTGAGCCCTCCCTATCTTACATCTTCAGCGTCGCCACAAAGGCCCTCGAAGAAGACCCCCGCCAAGTCTACCGTTTCATGTGGTCTCTCTCTGTAGCACTCAGCAAGACGAATCAGACTTGGCTATCTATGCAGCTTGCAAAAGCGAGGGTTCTACTGCCACGGTTTGGAGTTCCGGGGTTAATACTGGAGCAGTGTGGGGGGTTGAGTGTTAGTAACGAGGGAGCACAGTAACCTCGTTTATCATTGTATTGATATTGTAATTAAAAGTTTATAGATTATGCTTCTAAACTTCTATGCTGAATGACTCCTCTAAAGGGAGGGTGCGGCTACTGGAGCCGACAAAAATGGTGTAATTGCCTGACTGAAGAGTCCAATCTTGCTTGACGACGTCCCAGACACTTAGGTCACGTCTTGTGAGCTCAAATGGAACATCGACAGATTCACCCCTGCTAATCTTGACTTTCTCAAAACCTCGGAGTTGTTTGGGTGGACTATTCGGAATAGCAACGTATAGCTGAGCAACTTCCTCACCATCTCGCTTTCCGATATTGGAGACAGTGGCTTGAACAGTAGCAAAAGTACTCCAGAGATCATCATCAGCAGCTGAAGCACTTGTCTCAGCAACCTTGACCACTAAGTCAGAGTACTCGAACTCGGTGTAGCTAAGTCCATACCCGAACTCAAACCTCGGCGTGACATCCCGATCGTCGAACGAGCGGTAGTCAAGATACACGCCTTCAGTAAAGTCGCACTGCGGATCCTTGCTGCCCTCCTCCAGTCCACAGGGCTTGTAAGGCGTATAATCACTCTCGTTCTTGGCCAGGGTGTAGGGCAGTTTCCCTGAGAAATCAGCCTCACCATAAAGAAGCTTCACGAGCGCCTCGCCACTATCTTGGCCGGGCAGATGTGCGATGATTGTTGCTGTGATGTTAGGATGTTCGATCCATTGATCAACAAGACGAATGCCTGCTGCGTGGATTGTAACAATCGTATTGGCGCATTGCGATGCAACATTGAGGACTAGAGCGTCGCTGAAATCGTCGTAAAGACCATCGCGGTCCCAGCCCTCTGTAGCCATGGCGTTGATGAAGACGAGGCAGACATCGGTTGCACCGTTCACGTCGGGGTTGGAGGATGAAAGGTCCCAGTTCACCCAGCTTCCATCCTTTGCGGCTCTCTGTTGAATCGCGCTGAGTGGCTACATCTTATTAGTAGACTTCTCGGGAGAAAGAGAGAAGACTTACATCGCTGATATAAGGCGGCGAGTTAGCAGCTGCCCTGCCCCCGGAAACTATCGTTCCTCCCTTGGCAGCTTGGTCAAAGTGCTCTTCAGTCCCAAGAACAGCCTGTCCCATCTCTGGCGATGACGTGTAGCCCAACTGGAATAGATTGTCCGTATTCTTCGTCTTGGCGACGGTGGCATCATACCCAAAGACAGAGATCATCTTGGGCTTTTGAGCAAAGGGAAGAGTGTTGTTCTCGTTCTTGACCAGTACATGGCCTGCGATAGCGCCCTCGAGCAGGGTTGGCCGCGACTCGGGGATACGAGCTTCGACTTGCTCGTGGGGAAGAGAGAGGTTCTTCATTCCGATACCTGGGGTTGGAAAGTCGATGTCTTGGCCGACGAGGTACCAAGCGGCCAGGATTCTGCCACAGTTAGTAAACGCTCACTCGGTGCTTAGAAGAATATACCTTGTGGCCATATCCGTAACTCTCTCCTCCTTAACTGTCCCATTCTCCACAGCCATCGTCAAATTCTCCCCCCAGAATCCCCCCATCGGCATAACCATATCAAGGCCCGCATTCGCACTCTCAAGATTATGCTGCGCATTCCAATCCAGCAATACAAACCCCTCAAACTCAAGCTCAGTCTTGAGAAGTCCGTTCATGAGCTTGCTGTTCTCGCAGGCATACGTTCCGTTGACGCGGTTGTATGAACACATCACCGATGCGACGCCTGCTCTTACCGACTCCACAAAGGGCCAGAGATAATACTCGTGAAGAGTCTTGTCGTCGACGTTGGAGGATACTGCTTCGATGCCGAAGTAAGGGCGACGGTAGGTTTCTTGCTCGTTCGCGATGAAGTGCTGTTGGTGTTAGTGGTGGTGGTGGATGGATCTGAAGGGGATACTGACTTTGACGTTGGCGATGACTCCGGCGTCTTGATGCCCGATGATGGACTCTGCGCTGAGTTGGCCAGTAAGGTAGGGATCCACGGAGAATCCCTCCCAGTTTCGTCCCCCAAGCGGTGTTCTTCCCAAAGGCCCAACATTTGGACCAAGAAGGACGTTGACTGACTATGATCAGTACGAGAAGTCAACCTCAGATGCTGATACTCACCTCCCTTGGCCTTGAATTCCTTCCCCATGTAATACCCCCGCTGATACGTCAAATTCTTGTCCCAACTCGCACCGACATGCAAAGCAGAAGGATACGAGTTCACAAAATCCGTCGCTCTCACTCCGTTACCAGCATCATGCAGACACAAGCCAGGCCATCCAAGGCGCGGAATCGTACCCGTGTTACCAGCGCAAACATTATCCGCCGCGAAACCACGCGTAACATTGACCTTCTCCTCGAGCGTCAATCGATCCACAAATTGCTGCGCTTTTGCGTACGCATCTTTCCAAATTCCTTTGCCGGTTCCTTGCGCTGTCAAAGGTTAGGTTAGCGCCATCAGGGGTCAAAGTTAGTTACTAGGCGGATCTTACGCGATGGATACTCTTGAGTCGGGATTTCAGCGGGAAGAGAGAATGACGACGTGACTTGCAGCGCAAGACACAAGAGTTTGGTCGACCACATCATGTCAGGAACTACCTCGCAGATCCTCATCTTGAAAAGAAGCGGAGGTGTTGTTGCTTGTATTTATCAGTTCATCGCGTTACCTGAGCTTTGTTGCATGAACAACGAATAAGCCGGTGATTAACCGGTATCCCCCGTACAATACGTCATTGGACGAGGGTCGCGGAAACTCCGTCGTTCACCGCCTAGAGGTGGAGCCAATCGGAGGGTAAGCCGGTGGTACAGGGTATGTTGCGATGGATTTTTGAGTTGCGATCCGGGGCCCCGGAGGGTGATAGTCCCCCGCGAACGTGGAGTATTTTAATTATCATGCTGTTGATTGAAGATCGTTAGATAATCAGATGAGACTTTCCTTGACTTCTTTTTCCTATATTTATGATTTTAACCGGATGTAACGTTGCCCTAGGTAGTTGGTTTACTTGGTTGAGCTAGCCTCGCCTTATTCGAGTCGACGTTGAAAAAATATCCATTTGATTTGCTGATAAGGATTTATCGATGAGTCAACTTATCGAAACAATTAAGCTAATGTAGGTCAGCATGATATGTGATAATGAAGTCAGGTTAAATTAGCGACGACACGAGAGACAATTGCTATATGGAGTCAGCCAGCCTAAGCGTCAACACCACTTCCAGGTGCTTACCCTCGTGACTGACACTTGTAAATTGACGTGGCAGGTTGAGAACAATGGTAGATGCACTTTGCTGCACCTCGATGTCCGAACTCTCCTGTCTCGAAAGTCCGAATTCTTCCACGCGGTAGACCCAATATCCCCAACATTTCCAGCCGCTGTTGGCAATTGATGTCAGCCTAAACACTCGCTTCGTGGGGGTTCCAGTCACACAAGGACAGACAGCTCGGGCTTTTCTTCGCTCTGCAAAGTGCAAGGTGCGCGATAACCGCTCGCAACCGACGTGCCCCTTTCCATCCTCAAAACGAGGCTGCAGACGTCTCGTCTAGTTTTGGCAATGAGCGCGAAGCGAATGGCACGTACGCGTAGTTGGCTGAGTGTATTGCTTGTTATTCGCCCAGAAGAGTCTGCTGACGAACGCCCTCGATTTTGAGGCCCCCAAAAATGCAGCTCATTGATGTAGGCTCTGTGTACACAATTGTGTGGACCAATTAGGTCAGTTCAAATCGAGATTAGTCTGAGGCTCTTTGAAGTACCTTCGAACTGTGTACAGTCCTTATAAATTCGAGCATCTGTCGCCCATATTTTCCTAGCGTCTATCAAGCCCTATGTAATCCGCCATGGCTACTGCAGGCCCATCAGAATACCGCTCGGTCACAGACCAAACCCGGCTGGCACAAAACTCTCACTCCGCAGATTCTGCTAGTCAGCCATCACCACTTCAGATGTCACTGAGGAGGCCTTCCACATGCCAATCTCCGACCGCGATACCGAAACCGTCATTGGAAAACCCATCAAGCCGTCGAAGTTACTCACGCACATCATCGGTGTCTTCATTAAAGTCATCATCTGGCCCATCAGGGCCATGCTCACCTGATAGTAGCCCTGTGAGCTCTGTCCGGGAAGTTAGCATCACAGATGCAGAAGCCAAAGAACCAGAGCCAGACTTACCAAAGGCACCGGAACATTTCACCAGAGCTTTCAGTATCCCCAAAACATTATTTGATATTTATGAGACCTCTCGAGAATGGCACTTCGGCTTCACACCTATGCAGAACGTGCACGCCCTAAAGATGGAGCTCAATGAAGCGAACCTCAAGCGTGAAAAGGCTGAAAAACAGGTGAGAGATCTCACTCAACGTCTAAGTTCAGTCGCGGAACCAGGACCGAAGATTCAGTCCACAGAGAGTGAACGAAAATGTTCAGAAGGAGCAAATGTCACACCTTCGAAACTTCGCAAAGAGCGAGACGCGAGACTAATAGAGTTGATTGAGAAGAAGGGCAAAATACCGCTTAAAAAGAGGTTCGAGGAACTAGTGGGTTGGTGTCAGAAGATTGAGGCTGACATTGACGCTGCTCAAGACCGCAACATGTTACTTTTTGATGAGCTTGGAGAAGCAAGCAAAGACATCACAAGACTTAAAAATGAGAAATTGTCGCTTGAAACCAACAAAGAAAAACTTGAAAAGCAACTCGAACAGAGCCGCAAGCAGACTACGGTGGCTAATGATGATCAAACATCTGCGGTCCCGATTGCCAAGCCCCCACAGTCTCTAGCTCCCCAAAATGATCAAGAGAACCGGCTTGGTGAGTTACAGCGAGAAAATGAGCGGCTTCGGCTGGAAAACGACGTGATGAGAAACGGTCTCGAGCAACCTCAAAGCCAAGATAGCCCTCCAGAGGAACCAGAGACTCAACTCAATGACGTAACTCCAGAAGTCGCGCAAGCCTGGAGTGCAGACCCTGGGGTCGAGGTTCAAGGCGCTGATGCCAACATAGGAGGTATTACGGCCGGACAAGACTCCGTGGGACCGCAAGATATCGAGGTCACAGTGATCCCAGTCACACCTCCAGCAGCATCAGAAGCACGAGAAATTTTGCGTTTCAATCTACAGCGTTTTTTTAGCAGTGTTAATCGAGACTCAATATCGAGTAGTGATGATGATGCTAGACGCCGACGAGATATTCGACGACACGAGCGGCAAAGACGACGAGAGCAGAGGAGATTAGAACGAGAAGAAGAAGCTCGGCAACAACAAAGGGAAAGGACAGAAAGAAAAAAGGACGCCCAGAGACCTCTCAAACACCACGGTCAGTCTTCCAAGGTATATAAAAAGAAAAAGAAAATTCTGTCGCCACTCGGATGGGTAAGATATCGTCGAACATTGATGGATTTCCTTTCATTTAGCTATATGTTTTCCTCGCCGCTCAAGCTATCATGACAGATCAAAGTTAAGTTTCTTATATTTTGTTTAATACTTTTTTCAATATTATTATATGTAATCATTTTCTGCAGGACCTACTCTGTCTATGAGCCAACCTTGAAGTCAATCCTTTCCGTGCCTAGATTGAGATCGTTTTCCCCTACCGATAAGATTTCATATCCTTTCACAGGTTGATACTTAATGAGAAATAGGCTTCAATTTTCAGTACAAAAATTCCAAGTGACCGGGTGCACCGATTATAGTTACGTTGTTTGTTAAAATGTGACGTCGGCATGGAGTCGGCCTCCGCGGAGGTTAGCGGGAACATCCTGAACTCTACAGCGCAACGTTCCATGCAGCGCAGATAAGCAGTAAAGCCCAGTCTGGTGTCAGTGATTTCCTTCCGCTTACCTCAGACGGCGACAACCATCTCGAAGGAATTTCCCAATTTAGATGCTGCCCCTCATCCTTTTCGCTTTCGTATGGGATCCTTCAAAGCATCACGGTGCAACACTCTCACTGGTGTCGCCGTTGCTAAATCTGTAGCAATCTTCAGTAATGAATTGAGTTTTCCACTAACTAAAACCATTAGCTAGCTGAAGAAACCATTTATACCCCCCTCTTGGTGTCTTCTTTGATGGTCTAGGCCGCTAAAAGATGACATTTCGTCAACCCCGCAAGCCTGGCGTTATCCGCTAATAAGATTGCGGAAGTATGCTGCGATGAACCAATAAAAAGGCACTTAATGGGCATGCAAGATCCCAGCAACATCGGCAATTCCCTCTCGGATTAAAGTTTCCTGTTATCTTACGGATTGTGACGCTGACAAGGGGTATAAAGAACTGCTACGCCCAGTCAGCTTTACTTGCTTGCTTCTGTAATCAGCCATCATGTTGTCCCGTCTCATTGAGCTATCGGAGCGCGCTCCAAAAGACTTCACCCTAGCCCTAGGCTTCTCAATTCTTAGCGCTCTTTACCTACTCCGGCGATGGCTTCTCCCCAAGCCAATCCCAGGTATCCCGTATAACGAAAATGCGGTCAAATCCTTCATGGGCGACATACCCGAGTTCAGAGATGCTCCTAATCGTCGAGAATGGTGGGCGCAGCAACCTGCTCGTCATCAATCGCCTATCGTTCAGGTATTCATGAGACCTTTTGGAGCACCGTGGGTCTTCGTGGCGGATTACTTTGAGGCGTCAGATATTTGCATGCGTCGATTGAAGGAGTTTGACAGAAGTAACGTGACGTGGGAACAGTTCAACGGTGTTGTACCGGGTCATCACATCACACTGAAATCATCAGATCCAAAGTTCAAGAAGAATAAAGAATTGATTCGTGATTTGATGGCACCAACTTTTCTTCATCAGGTAACAAGACACAGACTATGAATTAGAGCGTTCACTGACTTCAATAGGCGTCTGCTCCAGAGATCCACGACAAGTTTAGTAGTCTTCTCAAGCTTTGGGATCGTAAACTGGACTTATCAGGCGGCAGGCCGTTCGACATAGCTCAGGACATCCACAACTCAGCACTCGACATCATCCTCAGTGCTTCTTTTGGTATCGACTCTGGCGATGGCCAGATCGGCAGACAACTCGAAGAGCTCAAGGCGAGAACCGTTTCAGGTGGACAAGATGACCTCTTCGAGTTTGAGGATGTTTCTATCGACGAAGAGCAGAGTTGCTTCACCACTCTTGCAGACAGTGTCGGTCTATCCATGAGGTCCCCTCTTCCCACCATCCATCACTTTCTCTACCGTAATCTCTCGCCCAAGATGCGAGGGGCAAGAGCGGGTCGTGATAGATTGAGGGATCGTGAGATTGCCAAGAGCATTGAACGAAGAGAGTCAGGCCAGCCGCAACGCTGTGCTTTGGACAATATGCTTGCGAGAGAGGATGCCATAGCTGAGAAAGAAGGGCGCAAGCCTGACTACCGGAGTCAAACGATCATGAGCGAGGTATGTTACCGCTTGAGCATTTACAGTGCTTTGGCTAACCGTTTGAAGTTGATGGGATACCTGGTCGCCGGACATGAAACAACCTCCGCTGTTCTACGATGGGGAATGAAGTACTTGACTGCCAACCAGCGCGTACAGTTACTCCTCCGTGAAGCTGTCACCAATGCTCACCCTCAAGCGACAAAGGACAACCGCGTCCCAACAACCGAGGAGATCCTCAAAGCTCACATCCCATACCTCGATGCCGTCGTTGAAGAGATGCTAAGGCACTCACGTGTCGCCCCGGTTACCCTTCGTCAAGCCACAACCGATACCCAGATCCTCGGCCGCTTCATCCCGAAAGGAACAACAGTGGGCTTCCTTGGCAACGGCCCCGGCGTCATGATGCCCAGTATTCCAGTCAACACTAAAAAGCGATCCGAAGCTGCTTTGGCACATATGGAGAGAACACAGCTCTTTGATGAAGAAGACCTTGCGCAGTTCGTTCCTGAAAGGTGGCTTTCGACTACTGTGAACGGGGAGGGCAAGGAAGAGACGGTGTTTGATCCGCAAAAGAGACCGTCTCAGGCATTCGGACTTGGACCTCGTGGTTGCTTTGGCAAGAAATTGGCATATATCGAGATAAGAATATTCCTGACATTGTTCTTCTGGACGTTCAAGTTGGAGCCGGTTAAGCCTGAGCTGGCTACGGAGGATGAGATGCTCGCGTTGACGCGGTCACCAAAGAACGTGTACATCAAGCTGGTGAAAGTGTGATGGCATATGGATTAAATAGTTGTTTTGAAGAATATGATAGGAGTTTTGGAAATACAAATAAAGTGAACTGGCAAGAAAACATACAACAGCGGGTATTCGCTAGTCATCAACGTCCTAACTACTAATCCGCTCCTTACCAGATTGTCTATCGGAGAGCAGACGGGGTGCTTGTAACACGCTTTTCCAAAGTAGGGAAGAAGGACAGGTTGGATTAGATGGGTTGGATGGGCTGATTGTAGTGGTCACTTCCGGAAGGACGGATCAAACTGCTCAAGGGCAACAGAGGGAGGCTGTGCCTATAGATATCAAGCTCAAAGGATCTCTGTCCTTGATATCATTGGTCAAACTGACTTGACTCCATAATTTTCCGGTCACGTTCGTGGCCGGATGGCGGAGCAAACTTCTTCAATCGGCCATGTGCATGTGAGCTGAAACAGTCTATGGGTCTTTCCCGTACAATGTTGAACCAACATGCATGAAAATCACAACCAACACAGTTTGTACCCTGTCGAGAAGGGCTACAAACTGTGTATTTATATCACGTCCAGGTCTGGCCTTTGCATTCTTTGTTTTCTATCGTTTCCAGAGTGCAACGCTCAAATTCACTGCTCAATCTGCACATATTTTCTCGAATCACGCCATGGACAATTCTTCTCCAAACCCACTAACTACTATCTTTGGGAACTTGTCAATTGTAGACCATGGGGCCCAACCGCAACATGACGGTTCTTCAAATCCGGGACGATCATCCCCCTGGCAAACCATTGCGGCACCTGCCCCACCTAACTCACACTCTGAATTTTCGTCCTCGCCTAGTACCGTTTATGTCTTCGGCCAGCAGTTTTCAAAACAAAACGCCAGCTCTCAGAGTATCTTTCGATTCGGTTCTAGTGATCACGATGCTGGATCCGCAATCAATGACCCTCAGGGTAATTCGTTCTCGTTCCACGGGCTACACAATATGACGCCACTTCCTTCACCTTCACCATCCCCTCGGCCGTCCCCCTTTCCCCCGCGAAAAATCCTCCCACTGCCACAGTCAAAGACATCTCAACTGCAATCGCCCTTCGGATGTGTCACAGCCACTCCTGAACAAAGTGGTCGAGGAGTATCTGCAAGCAACACCCAAACACATCTGTCCCCATTCCTTTCGCCTTCAAGTTCACCGTTAGGCAGTCGACAGCGATCACTTTCCTTTACACCGGCAGCACCTCCTACTCCCAGCATCGTACAAAATGAGACGCCAGGCTCAGATCATGTACCGTCCCCAACTCCTGCGCCGCCAGCGCCGGTCACACCGTATGATCCTAGACAAGAGCCAGCACCTATTCATACCCTCTTTACGTCCACTCTTCAAGATGCACTGAAGGAAGGTCCCGAACTAGCCAAGATGGCAGTGAAGGCCATTCAGAAATTGTAAACAAAGAATCCGAAAGAAGCAGACTCAGAGCTCTCCAAGTTCCTGGATGACGCGAAAGATTTGCAAGGATTCCAGGGCACTGACACACGCACAGTTGCTGTGCTGGGAGCTTCAGGGGAAGGTGAGAACTCAACAACTGATCCGTTTTGTCCTGAGATCCTTATTAATCCTATCCCACAGGAAAAAGCAGTTTGATCAATTCACTCCTTCATTTTCCAGGAGTTGCTGAAACGGTATGTCGGACTGGAATATTTCTAACCTTTCGGTAATTAATTTGACCGCTTAAATTGTAGGGTGACCTTGGATCCGCCTGCACCTCAGTTGTCACCGAGTATCGACAGAAGAAGGCAGATCAGACTGAGCCCATTACCATTAACGTGGAGTACCTTTCTATGACTGAGATCCGGGAGCTTATCCATGAGCTTCTGTGGAGCTATAGACAGCTGTTTCTTCCAACTGTCGAGTCTAACGAGACATCTGAGCAAGAGTACAATCGCTATATCAGAGAATCGGAGCTAGCATGGTCTGCGTTGAGGGCCGCATTCAAGCACAAAAGGCAGTTCACGCCGAAGTTTGCCCAGGATACGTCTGATGGAGCTTTGGAAAGGATCACGAATCAACTAGTCGATTGGACTAGGGAGATTGAGTGGCCTACGAGTGGCGCCGACGGCTTTTGGACATCGACAGCACAGACAGCTGAAGAATGTGTCCAACAAACGAAATTGTTCATGCAAGATAAGTTATGGCCATTTACGAAACTTATCCGGTAAGAAAAAAGGCTCTTTGTCACCTGCTTTAGCTTCCTGCCTGACGTATAAAACTTGCAGCGTGTATCTCAACTCCCAAGTTCTAAAGACCGGAATTGTCCTCGCGGACTTACCTGGTGAGTTGACATGAATCAATTTATTTTTGGCTTACACGGTTGACTTAACACCTCGTTTAAAGGACTCCAAGACACGAATTTAGCAAGAGTCCGAGCAACTCAGGATTATCTCATTAAATGTGATAACATCATGATTGTTGCCAAGATATCACGGGCTATCACCGACCAATCTCTCAAGTCTTCGCTATTTTACGTTTTGTCTCGCCATGTACCGACAGAATGGGAACAATCCGGCACCCAAAGGCTGAAAGTTGCTGTCGTTTATACGAAGTCAGAGGTAAGTATGCGGCGTATCTCATGTTGTTTCCAATTCTTAACATTGTACACAGGACATCAACCTCGGTACAGCGAGACGCGAATTCTGCGGTCCCGATAAAGCTATATCGACTGATACGATGGCAAGACTGGACACTGAGCTTGACGCCGCAAAGATCTCTGGAGATAGAACAAAGAAGAAAGCTATCAAAAAGCAGTGAGTCCCTTTATTTGGAATTCATCAAGTACATCTAACAAGCTATAGACAGGAGCTCCTCTTAGTCCAAGCGCGAAATGGACATGTCAAAACGAACCTTCAGAGCGCCTACTCATCCGAGATGGACGGCAGAAGTCTGGACGTATTTTGTGTGTCCAATAAGTGGTACGAGAAGTATTCCCTAAAAGGAAACACCGAGTTTGCAAGAGCGAGCGGAATTCCAGAACTTCGACATTTCTGTCACAGTCTGACCGCAGATGCTCAACTGAGTGAAGCAAAACACTTTCTCAGGTTTAGGTTATCTGCACTCTTTAATACCCTTGAGTTATGGGCTACAAGTTTGCTTGACAAGCAAAATGCAATCGAGAAGCTAAACGACTCTGTCCAAATGAAGATGAAGGAGGCTATAGATCAGGTAATTATTTGAAGCTACCCAGCTCATCTTATCGTGTTAGACTAAGAAAGCGTACAGTTACCCACACTGGTCAACACATTTAGGCAGGATTTCAGCAGATGCTTTGAAGAGCAGATAATGACTTTCTTTGGTAGGTGATGTTCGGTAAATTGTGCATGAATAAGACAGGAAACTAATTTGAGCCCCCTTCAAGGTCGGAGAGACTATCACTGGGATCAGGCTGCCATCAAAGAGGGACAAGTGTGGAAAACCGTGAGTTCTAGCGTATCGTGTATCATAAAAGACACATGGCTGACGGTGATTTTTCAGTGGCACTGGAGTAATTTAATAACCGAGCTCGCAGACCGCCCAAGACCTCCTACTAATGAAATTGTCACAGGTCAGTATAACGCGTGGTGTCTCAATAATGGTGATCATCAGACATTGAACCGAGGACACGAGAACTGGAACGCAAAGATTATCTGGAAAATGCGCACGGAGCTTGAAAGCCAATGGGATCTTATGGAAGAGGAAGTGACTGATGTCTTCTCTGCCCTCCTGGATGGTGTGAGGAATATTTTGGATCAATTAAAGCCTGGCGTTTATGGTGAGTCCACATTACTCAATCGATAGTAGATTGTTGGTCTTGCTAACGGTATCCAACTTACAGATTTACTACCCTCACGGAGCGTCGGTCCAATCGCCAATAGTATAGCTGCCCAGATGGGGAATCTTGAGTATAAATTGGGCAGGGAAGAAAATGGTTTCCTTGCGGAAGTCAGGTAAGGATGCAGCTCTTGTCTTTTCCACAGTCTCTCTATAACAGATTTCTAATAATGTGACAGAGCTATACGCAGGTACGCGTCGGAATCGAATTACAACTCCTACATTCTTAAAGACATGATACCAGTATACCGCGATGCGGCTAGCCAAAAAAGTATGTATCTTTTTCCATGAACTGAACCCATATGGACTTTCGCCTAAGCGATACACCAACCTACATAGCTTGCTCAATGTGTATGCGTGTAATTTTCTTTTTATCTTTTATTTCGCAAATTTAGTGGCTAACAGAAAAATTCTGTAAAGAAACTGGCAAATTCGGACGCCAAATATCGATCATCCAAGGGCACATTGAAGAGGGCCTGATCTTCCCAAAATTGTCCATTGCTGTTGCGGAAAGCATGAACAACTTAATTACCATTACTTCGACACGGCTCGGAAGTATTCTCAGTGACTCCTTTGACATTATCCAAGCAGATTTAAACATCATGTTCCAGTCTTGTGAACGATCACAAGTGAGCCTAGCTGTCGATGCCGGGGAAAGAGAAACTAAAATCAAGGAATTTGCGGAAGAAGTCAGGAATTTGAAGCAGCGGCATGAGCGTCTATTGCGAACTGTTGAGGCTATTTAGGATCCATAAATATATGAGGATGATGACAAACATGCAGCACGACCTTTTCAAGCTTTGCATTGACGGCTTGGAAGAGCCCCTGGGCCATATCGGCCAGTTTTTGAACGGGAAAAATATTATTTCAGCACATGATTTATTTGTTTTTGCAAGCGACGTTAGCCGGATGTCCAAAACAACATTACTCAAAGAAGGTACCACAAGGCACATCCGACATCCTCGGCCAGTGGAATCGATAATGAGCTCTCAATCGGGACCCCCTATGATCATCAATGTGCCAGGTGTCTCGTTTTCGCACTATCACTACTACTAGTAGGCATTAGAGCACTTTTGAACGAAAGACATAACCCAACCTCGAAAGTTCCACCAAGCAAGAAACGCAGCTGTCAAACGAAAGCCTAGGGTACTGCTTTGACAAAACCACAGCCAACAAAGCGTATCAGGATGAATGCAAACACATTTGTCCGAGGCTTATAAGAAGGATACCAGTCTCTCAATTACAAAGGATTTCTTCACACGAGACCATTTATTCCACAAACAACGTTTATAAACGAACGAAGTAATCCCTACAACTAGTCTACAACACGAGACTTTGGAGAGATCTGCGACTGGACTACTCGCTCCGCACGTACTCCATTATACATTCTATGTGCGAAACCAGAGTCTGCTTGGGATATCGGTACCAGGATCTAAACCCATTATCGGAACCTTAACCAAATCCTGACACATTTTCCTCTACAGTGGCTGTGTGATGGACGACAAACGATCTGCGCGCCGATGACGGCCCGGCCAAGTTTCCAGCTAACCACTGTCTTACAATAGGCCACTCAGCACGGACTTGCCCCAGGCCAAAAGCAAAGAAAAGTATCAGAATTGGATGTCGTTTATGATATTGGTACAAACAGTGAGTGAGTACCACGAACAGGCAGTCACGGTACCGAGGCCAGAGAAAAACGCACCTGTCCAACCAGGGTTTACTTGCCCATTCTCTAAAGGCCCTGTCAATAGATCGGAGCTCAACCGCGCTTGCTTGGGTCATGGATGGATCAAGATACATCGTCTTAAGGAAGTTGGCTGTTTTACCTCCCCGTGGAGACCTTAAGTACTAAGTAGGGTCATCAATTAGTGAACACATACAGCGATGTCACATTCCTGCAGCATTTAGCAACACCTTAGTCTGCAACCACTGTCACTAGAGCTTCGTGTCTCGAGACGTGCTCTTCAAGCATCAGCGCCTGGAGGATCCGTGTCCTATCAAGGCCGCTGAGCTTATTGTAGGCAAGATCACACTGGAGCAAGCAGCCAAGCTGGGAGCAACAAAAAAGAAGAAGTCTAATATGAGCGACGAGAAGAGGTGGTTCGAGTTTTACGACATCATCTTTCTTGGCCAGGACCCGGCACAAAGACCATTAACACCATGTACGGCTGGCTATTTCCCCCTCCGTCTGGACCAGGTACCAGGAGTACCATGGCGACAAACTAGAAGACGCTGACATGGTAAATACATAGATCATCAACCTTTGGCCAACTCAACTCTGAACAACTCCAGCACGCCTGCTTCTATTAGCATCCCTAGTTATCGGGACACTTTTCTTGGGCCATCAAACCAAAGAAAGAAGCGGAAACTTGCAGTTCCTGGAACTGGTAGTCCTGTACTTCGGTTGCTGGCGTTCTGCGGAAGTCTAGGTGAGTAGCCCCCCAGTCTTTGAGTTCCCCTTCAAGAGTTCATCAAGGCAAATGACGATCCTTCGATTCCTGTTGATTATGAATCTAACATGTCGCAGCTGGACCTAGACAACCCCTGGGCATTTGACTTCTCACAAGTCAGCCAGCAGACCTCTTCGACTGGATTATCTGGTAGGCTTCTGCCCAACGTACTGGACTGTTGCTGGATACCTGCTTAGAAGTTACTTTAGCGTTAAGATGTGTGCTTGCGTTTGGGTTGTGCTTTTTGCTCTTTCGCGATGAGATTGGGAATTACCTGTAGCTTTGGTTATAAAGAGGATTTATTAATAGGCTTTTTTACACACATAGTTAGGAATAACAAGGTTGCGCACTTTTTCACTAGGTAGCGAATCTTTTAAGGTGATTACGGATTTGATAATAACTCGGTATATGGCACAAAGCCAGGGGGAACAAATTTTAATATTCCTTAAAGTCTCGAGAGTTTGAGGTAATATAGCGACTACTGCTGTTTTCTCTCTGTGAAGACCAGTGTATGCCAAGTCTCCATCCAACGTAGTAAATACAATTAGCTACAGGATTGGATGCGACCATGGTCAGAGTTCCTTCATTGGTTGATCTGGAACAGCCAGCCCACTACGACATTAGCGTAACTGGGAATGAGCCAGAGGGACAGAACCAACCTGATTAGGATCAACGCCATATGGGATTGAACGAGCCCGTAGCTATTGCTATAGAGAATTGTTGCGATGCTTGTTCACCAATATTGGTTATGTGGAAAGTATCTCGATGCAAGACTTGAAGCTAGACTGCCTCGGGGTTCTGTTAAGTACACCTGTCCAACGCCTTTTCCTGGTTATGGATAGAAAGAAGATGTTCACCAGCTGCGCCTCGGCCAACTTCATGGCAACAGGTTGCTTCGCCGAGACCCACACCCGGAGGACCTTCCACTTATGGAAACATCCCTATCAACCTTACTAGCCAAAAGCTGAGACACAATATTATGCAGTTGGTTGACAAGTTGCATGGGTCAACCAACAGATGGTCAAAGAGCAAATAAAAGAGATAACAAAAAATGGGCCACCAGGCGAAGACTTCTACAAGGGGTTAAGGCTGATTAGCCGGTCTATATATAGCTGCGTGATTTGTCCCACGTAACTTTTTCCACCGCCACATTCCCCAGACCAGTCTACCTACTCCGCCTCTACCCCAATATGACTTGGGATCGATATGAACTTGGTCAAAGGAACATTTTCTACGATGAAAAGAAACCCCTGATCCCGGTCAATGTGTTCCCTCCACACGTAGAGCGCGTACGGAGATTAATAACAGACCTGTCTTGTGTAGTCAATGGAGAAGGCTTGATCAATAAGAATGAGCTTATTTCTGATGATAAGTTGAAGCCTTTACTATATGGTCCCGTTCCAGATCCTGCCCTAGCTGAGGCGCAGAAGACCTTGAGCAAGGCGCACAGTCTCGTTAACGGTGGCTACAAAGAAAAAGCGTGGCAGGAGTTCTATACAAAGCACTTTTTCGACAGACTCGCCGATTCTCTTTTATTGTCTAAAGATGATACTAGACGGTAAGGTGATTATAACATTTAGTTGGGCATTAGAGCTGACCGTAAACTCAAGCGCGTCGTACAATAAATATTATCATGACGCAGTTAAGAGGTAAGCAGACTTATGTCTCTATTTTACCCACCTGGAAGCTAACTCAGTCATCAAGAGAGACCGATGGCCTCTGGGACCTCTTTAAAAAAGAAAAGGAGTCCAGAATAGCGCCATTCAAGATTATCAGTAGCCCTAAACCAGACCACGCTTTCTTCCTTCCCATTTATCACAACCGCCATCCAGCCGGGATTCCCACTGTGGTTGACCCCAACGCTAGACAATGGAATAAGGCTCAAGAGATATCTGCCATGGAACCGTTTACGTGGTCAACGCTCAAGAGGTTACATGGATTTGGCCTTGAACCAGCGCCTTGCCACCTTTTCGAAAAACCACCACTGGAAGCCAATCTCAAGTGTTACCCTTGGCTTGTAGTCGAATATAAAAAAGAGAAGCAGGATAATAGGCCCGCGAGAGATGTCTGTTGCCAGGCCGCTAATGCTGCGGCATGCGCGATTAGTTTGATCATGCACACAGCCCAGTATGCTGTGAAACTGCCCAAACATGCGCACATCCCCCCCATACCTGTCATCACTACTATCGGGCCTAGCGTGAAAGTGTGGATCATGTATTATGCCACTGATTTCAACGCCCCGTGTTGCCGCGAAGAGACCACAGAGGTGATAGTGAGGAGACGCAAACAGGGACATGTGAGTCTATCTATCTGTTTGGATTCTCTTGGCTGACTTGAATTGAGATGATGCGCGTTATTTGGAAGGGTGACATGACCAAGCTTGCTGACGTTGTCATGCTCCAAATGGTCCTTGATAACGCGCATACCTGGGCCACACGAACTTTTAAACCTTTGATGGCTTCGTACATCGAACAGTGGCAGTATGTATTCGATGAGTCAATTACCGGCGGAACTCTAGGTCATAGCTCGGCGTTCTTTCTGTCCAAGAAACGTCGCGAAAAGACAGTTGAGCAGCGACGAGCCATTGTCCCGATGGTCCAAGGCCTGATAGATGACCAAGACACCATGGAGCTTGACGACATGGCCAACAAGAGGGTGACTCCTTTACTTTTAGGCTTAATGATGCATCAAATCTGCTCCCTAGAGAAGGAGCTTATAGCCAGTGAAGTTGATAGAGTTGTGTCTCAGAGATTAGAGGGGCTGTCCATGAGGGGAGTGGCGTCTGGAATGCAGTATAGTTCCCAAGGAGCACAGAGCGCCCGATCTCGAGCACACTCTAACCGCTATTCTGACCGCCAAGAATCGATTTTCGGCTCGCGTCAAACCAGTCAATACTTGCCACTTGACAACGATGATCCGAACGATTCTGACTACAGACCGTCACAAGATTCTCCAGTTTCTATTCAAACAACATCCTTTCTGGATCTTATACGTCCTGATTCGATTACTCCAGATACCTTACCTTCAACCTATGAGTTTTCTTTCCATAGCTCGGCGCGGGCTATCTCAAAAGGTTCGGAAGCCCAGCCATCAAGATCAAACGAAGATCGTCTCTTAGATAGCCCCGATGGAAATGGGCGGGAGTCTCCATTTAGTTCTGGGGGGCAGGTTACTCCAAAGCCGAGTTCCTCAACGCTGGTCTCCGGGCTTTTGTCCTCCTCGGATGAAGACGTATCTCAAGGGATATCTAAGGGAACTACACCTTCTGGGTTACCGGTCATCACTGATCCATTCTCACTTGAAAGGCGGGGACAGCAACTTGGTCAGCCGAAGCTTCAACACCCTCATGGTCCTATGGAAGATTCTAGCGAGAAGAGTCAATTTCAGGACGCAGATCAAGATGAGAGCGACTACATTGATTTGACAGAAGACAGCCAGGAAGGTACTTCGTAAGCTTGAGCTTAACGGGACAGACAGCATGTAGTCATACCAGTTCCACATATTAGAACATGATTGGTCAAATACAACGACAGTGATGGAACAGAAGACAGGTATTGGACGGGATCCCGAGTTATGTGACCAAAATAGCCTCTAGGGAGTATGATTTAGGATGGTCATGATGACTGCTCACCAACATCGACTGTGTGGAGAGCAGTTCTCAAAATCCACATGAGCCATCATTAAAGCTAGACTGCCCCGGGGTTCTGGTAAGTATACTCTGGTGCTCCACTCCACTGAAGATAGCCATTGCTTCCAAAGAAATGTTTGTTGTCTCCTAGCCATCCGTTGACATATGTTCTCTCCAGCCCTGTTTTCTGCTTCTTGCCTTGGAATCTGTCCTTAAGCCATGCCATCCAGAGGCTTCGCACACCTGAGATGATGGGCGTGTGACCAAACTTGTCTACATACATGTAGCTCAGTGAGTTATTGGGATAAGAATCAGCGGTGCTGGCGACAGTTTCGTTGGTAGTCGAAGCAGCAATGAAGAAGTCCTCAGAGCCTTGAATCACTAACAGAGGACCTGCGAACGGCTTATCCCCTACAGCCCCGAGCTTGTCAAAGGTAGCGGCATGATAAGAGGAGTTGTACCAATTGGATTTCTCAAGCGCGGTCTGTGGCTCAGTGAAGAACAGTTGCTGTCCTACTGCAACACTCCCTCCGAATTGCTTCATCAGCCTTTGTCTCGCAACTCCCAGTGGGGTCAACCATTGGCTGGGCTTGAAGTCATGAAAGATACTCGACAGCGCTATGGATGCACTGTAGCTACTGAAGAGCCGAGGGGTGGATAAAGGCTTCGTGACGGGTGCAATTGAAATGGTACCAACGTAGCCCTTCAAGAGTTTCACGAAAGCCGTGCTTCCACTGGTATCTTTTCCTTTGGCGAGCGACTCGGCTGCACCCCAGGCAATCCCACCGCCCTGACTGTGACCCATAATGGCGAATTTCCCACTAAGGCGGTCGCTAAATGCCCCAAGGGCAGCTTCCATTGCAAAGAGAGTGTCTTGCGCACCAGCAGGTGTAGCAAAGTACTGATGCGGAATATCAGTCCCGTCCCATGACTTGTCTACTCCGAGACCAGCATAGTCGGGCGCAACAACTGCATAGCCTTCTTGTGCGAGGGCCAGAGGGACCACGTTCTCGTAGTAGAGACCACGATGAGCGGAAGGTGCAGAGTCAATGAAGAAGCCAGACGTTCCATGTGCCCAGAGAACCGCTGGAGCTTTGCCGTCCGAGTTACTGTTAAATTGGCGGGGCAGGAAAGGCCAGAGGATATAAACACTGGCTGGAATGATAGTTCCATTGAAGTTACGAGTCGCATAGAGAATTCTGCTGAGGGAAGATCCTGGTGCAATAGAGAACGGAGCTGGGTTGGTCACTTCCTGCACCTTGAGAACCTGGCCAGGTCGAAGATTGGTCGGTCTAACAGGCAGATTGTAGAAGTCATCTTGCTTTGGACCGCCATTGGCAAGACTAGATTGATGAAAGTTGGCGACGGTATTGACACTTCTAGCTATAGTCTCCGAAAGATTGGCTTCTTTAATCTGGGCAGGTGAAAGAGAGAAAGATGAGTTGAAGCCCGTTGAGAATGGCAGAGCTGGAGCGAGGTTTTGGGGTTCAGCGGCTCCTGAGAATGAGGCTACAAAGAACAGCGATAAATTCAAGTACTTCATTTCAATAAATTGTTTCGTGATGTCAGTAGTAGCCTAAGTTTTGATACAGGCAGTAGGAATGATTAAACTATTGAGCATAAGCCAGTTCTATATCATCTTGTTCCCATTCTAGCATGACAAATCAGCGAGCACAGCAACGTCATATCGTCATCAAAGGATCTATTGAATGTAACATGATACTCTTCTTGAGATATCAATGCTGACAAACTCTAGTAACATGATCCTTGAATCCGCATAAAGTCCGCACCGAACCCGCTTCAGATCCGCAATACGCCAAAGCCAAGCATAAGCCTGATCGACTGTCAACCGTAAGCATGTCGCTTACAAGCTACAGGCTATCAGCATGAATATTCAAATAAAAAATCATTGTCAGCTTTATGTTAGGGCTATCTTGCCTCATTCTCTCATTCCCTTCTCCGCAAGCTGTTGCGCCAACTTCATCTCCCCTTCATAAAGACCATCGTGCGATCCCTCGGCGACTACAGTAGGATACAACGCTTCCATAGGAACTTCCCGCACATTGACCGAGTTACTCTCTCTGTTCCCGATAAGCATCGTCTCAACGATGTTTCCATCGCCGTATTTCTCATCAGTGAGGACCTGGAACATGACGTTGGCACATTGCTCTGCGGTGAGGCCCAAAGTCTCGGGTGGCATTCGGTCACGACAGTATTCCGGGTGAAATATGGGTGTCTATACTAACAATTAGTGATATCTTCATAGGGAGGTTCGTTGGTGAAGTTACTCACGTGCACGGCACCTGGACAGACGGCTGCGTTCCGAATGCCGAATCGCTTGTGGACCGTCGACAGTGATTTCACGAAACTCACGATGGCTGCTTTGCTAGCGAAGTAAAGCGGCGTCTGTAGCGAGTGCAAGTATCCTCCACAACTGGCGACCCAAAGGAGGTTGCCTTGCACATCACGATTCTGCAGCCAGTAGTCCATGGCAATCTGTGCCAACCTAATAGGACCAAGTGCATTCACAGCAAAGGTCTTGTACACGCCCGGACTACCGTCAGCCTTATCCTCAGATTGAGATGAGATTCCGGGAGGGTTCCAGAACGTGCTTGATGGGGGTTCATAAATGCCAGCGCCATTGCACACGATGTCGATTTGGCCAAGCTTCTCAAGTGCTGCGTCCCATAGAGATGAGAGTTGGGCCCAATCGCTAACATCAGTCTTGTGAAAGTGGACGTTAGGCTTTTCGCCCTCAATGGTCGCCCATTTGTTAACGAGATCCTCTGCTTCGGGGCGGAGTTTGAGATCAGCTATCACAACGGAGCATCCATTTTCAAGAAGCTGCTGGGCGAAGGCAAGGCAGATACCTATTGTTCGATGTTAATTATCCATTTCGTAGGCAGGAAATGAAGGGATATTGCATACCAGAGCCTGCGCCAGTGACAATGGCATTCTTGCCCTTGACGTCGTACAAAGACATATCTATCAGCTCAATTCAAGGCGTAAGCGGACAACTCAACAAACGAGGGGCAAAAGCAAAGAAGGCTCCTTTTTACTGAGGGACGTGCTTTATTTCTATCCTTGTTAAACCCCTCATCACCCATGAGTTCAGCTGGTGGACCATTGGACCCTGGCATTTTAAAGCTGCATGCCTGTGACTCAATCACATTTTGGTCTGGCGCTTACTTGGGATCGATCTTCAGCGGGCTCCGGGACCAATTCCATTGAGATATAAAGATCGGTACCAGTGACATCGCATTGTAAACCACACTCCTAAGAATTCTCCTGAATGAACCTCCAGCGCTCATGGAAGACCGACGACTAACTGGCTGTATTTTACCTGTAAGCCAGATCAGATCATCAGGCCACAGGCAGTCTCTCATGCACTCCCCTGACATTCGTATAAACTCCCAGTTACCAACTGCTCTGTCATTCGTGCACAAACCCGCTCAGATTAGATTAGCCCACTTCGGATGCGCCCTCGTGTTGGCTCTGGGAAACAACTAACCCCAATACAGGGGCCAAGAATCCGTGGCCTGCAGGGGTCCTAGAGCTGTTCAGGTTCAGTCTGGGGATGGTAACAACGACTTTCAGGTTCAATGTGCTTAAGTAAAGAATCCTTTAGTAGTGTCTTAAAGTCTATAGTCCTTGAGGGTGCATATTGCAAGCGTCATGCCGTATTCATAACTAGATTTGACTGACAGTTGTCTTGTTGCCTCTTCTCTCACTCGTCTTCTGTTGGTTCTCTAAGCTAGTAAACTTTAATTCCTGACATCGGAAGCTGATCCTGGTCTTCCGGTGCATAACTGTCAGCATTCTGGCTAAAGCTCGACACATCAACAGGGTTGGTCATCCAACCGACCACGGTAATTACTCGCGGACATGAGCCATCTGGCTAAGTACTCTTGTATCCCATCCTACTCAACGTTCAGCGACTCTCGTTTTGAATCGCCCAGCATTGACTTTCGCGCTATTCTACCTGCCTGGTATGGCAGAGGCTTCAGAAGCATGGCATGCAGTCAAACCGACTGGTCTTGCTGCCGCTCTTCTCGCTGTCACTATCATATTCACGCCGATGATTATCGTTGTTGTCGGCTTGAGAATATGGGTTAGAGTGACGCATCATTGCTTCGGACTTGAAGATTGGCTCATGTGTATTGGCGCCACTCTCAACCTGGTGCACAATGGAGTCGTCATCTGGGGCAGCTTCACTGGGATAGGGACACCCGACTCCAAGCTTAACACTGCTATGGTGATGGAAGGTTTCAAGGCACGTTCTTCGGTGCTTGTAGTGTCACCTCTAACCATGTTTTAGGCTGTGACGTTTTGGCAGATCTTCTACATCAGCAACTCCTTGTTTATCAAGATATCCATCTGCGCCCAGCTCCTGCGTGTCACGGATAACAAGAGAATTAAAGTTTTTCTCTGGGGCTTGATATCTTTGACAGTTCTCATTACGCTAGTAGCAGGAATTATCGGCCTAGTCAGATGCAGACCTCTAAGCGCATCATGGGATCCAAGCACAGGAACATGTATGGATCAAGGTATACTGTCAGTACTGACATACGTTGTGTCGGGGATCAACATCGTGGTCGACTGGTCTGTTGCTATATTACCAGTGATCATTCTGTGGAATGTCCAAATGCATAGGACGTTGAAGATCATGGCCAACGTGGTTATGGGTATTGGCGCATTGTAGGTCTTGACCCGATACATAGCGATTTTCACTAACATATCGCAGGGCATCAGTGGCAACTATTGTTCGACTTCCATACTCTCCCGCATACTCTCAGCCTGCTAATCAACTCCGTAAGTTCGTGTTTCGAGATACTATACTTTTAACTGACTTGTTAAGACGGTATCGGAAACATCATCCTCTGGACAGTAGTGGAATGCAGTCTTGGCATCATCGCCGGATCGATGCCCATGCTTCGAAAGCTCTTCAAGGCGCTACGAAAAGACGACAGTTCATATGCCAGAGGGACCGACGATGTAAACCTCGTGACGATTGGCCAGGTTCGTGGGAAGCACCATCCGATCTATGACGGAGATGTCAGAGCTACTGTTGCTGCGGGCGAAGATCGGGAGAGTGATAGGGATGACGAGAGCACGAGGCAGATAATCAGGGTCACAAAAGAGTTTGAGCAGGTATCAGTCATAGAAACGCCTCCTTCTTGATATTAGTTCCCGAAATGTCGACCATACAAAAACACATACAATAACATACACTTGCGGAAATATCATGGACGCCTACTCAACCATTACCCTTCCTTGTTCAAGCCTCAAGTCGTAGGCGTGCAGGTCGTGTTACAATCTATTCACTTGCCGTTCTTCATCACAGACTTAATAGTCGACTTAGCCTTTTCTCTCTTTTTACTACCCTTGGTTTTCGCCGTTGTCGTAGGTTTCTTCTGGCCCTGCTTTGCGTTAAGTTGATCTTGAGCCTTTTCCACTATAGCTACTTTCTGTTCCTGCTTCTTTTCCTTCTTCTTTGCCTTCTTTTTTAAGCTGCTATTCACATTTTTCTTCTTACTCATCACCGCTGTTTTTAGCAATGGTTGCTTATTGCTAGAAGTGCCAGATTTTGGTGATTTCTTAGTAGTTGGGCTCTTCCCTTGATCAATTACCGCTGCACTAGACATTTTCTTCTTTTTGGTTTTCTTTGTCTTCTGTTGTTCGCCTTTTGTTATCTTGTTGGTTGTATCAGCCACTGACTTGTTGCCAGGGCCTATCGTTTCTGGTATTTTTGAAGTCAACGATGATGCTAAGCTCAAGTTTGGTCCTGGCTGAGAGCTTAAACCAGCACACAGAACTTAGAGTAGAGCCTCTCTTCTCTTCTTGGTATTCTATAAGCGTTTACCTGTGTAGTGGGTTTAACTATCTTGGTTTTGCGCCACTAGAATTCAATATTAGGAATTCTAAATGTCTTTATCCAAAACTAAGAGATATCATATGGCCATAGCTGATAGATAAAGTTGCTAGCTATCTTGACAGCTGGGTGAGCTGTGTGAATCCTCCCCACAGGTCTGTTCCCCATCTTACCCTTGATGACAGGCTCTTCGTATAGTTGATAGAAGGTTTATCTAGAAGGGTGAAAGAACAGGGGCGGAGGGTGATAAAGTACAGTCACCAGATCACCCTGAGAGACGAACTATGCGAAAATGATAGAAGCTCTATGAATGTATCTCGGATGGGCTTGTGTTTGATGACTGGGGTTACCATGATATAACAGTGGACCGAGTGCAGTTGTTAATGTTTGAAGTTCATGCGGATCGGCCCATTGCTAGGCATGTTCACGCAACATGCCGCTCTAAAACACCTGACGATTGGGGACACAGGCATTCTGGAACCTTGATAAGATCTTGTCGGCCTCTTGGTCAGTAAGCCACCGTCGGATGAGCTGTCGGATTGCATCGGGTGGTTGATTTGTGCTGAAACTCACTCCACGTATCGGCTTGGAGGTTTCTTGGTGTGCGATACTCACAGGAGAGGTCTGAGCAGTGCCCGTTTTGCAGAATGCTCTGATGAAGTTACTTTATCGCACGCAAGGTAGTGTTGGGCAGGTCCTAAGCTTTCAGCAATGGGATCTTCGTCACAGTGACGCATGAACACCACCGTGCTAAGCTCTTAGCGGCAGCCAAGAGATGGTCGCAACATAGCAATAATAAAAGTACATATAGAGAAAATTACAAAGGGCAGCTTGTAACTTAATACAGCGTGGAGAAAGGCAAAAGAAAGAAATGAATGGCACGCATCCGAATAAAATGCCCAAAAAGTAAATTTCCTGTATATTACAGGTGGCGACTCTCCCGCCGGGAATTGAACCCGGGTCTCAAGCGTGACAAGCTTGCATACTGACCACTATACTACGGAAGACGGAACAGGCTTAACCTGCTGTAGTGAGAGGATTCGATGGGAAACTTCCCGCAGATACAGTATATATAAGCCCCAGCTACTAACCATTAGTGTATTTGGTGATTCCTCATGCCGACCAAGATGGGCTTCCCCATTTTATGCATCGCTATAGTTACTCAATTCAACTGTGTATTTGTTAACTATTTCTAATCTGAAGGTATGCATCTGCATTCATGACGAACTTCCTAAATGAAGGCCCAACAGACCAACATCCAAGGTTCCAAACATGCTCCTGCATCAGTCAGCATCTTTAACCTGCCCGGAGGAAGACCGTACCTTGGCCAAATCCACAAGATCAACGGTTCCATTAACCGGATCTGGCTTTAACGCATCTTCAAGCGCATACGGCCACTCGCACCGGATATACATCGACATATCAGCCAACCACGCCATGCGCTCTTGAAGCTGCGGGAACTGCACCACGAGATCGCGAAACGCAGGCCAGAGGACAAAGTCGGCCATGCTGATGTGAGGCGTGAACAGCTGATTTGTACTGTCGCTATCAGTGAATGTCGTGCTTGGATGGCTCTGAGGAATCTTACGTCGGTCTTATCCATTCTGGCATCGCAGCGTATGTTTCTGGTGATGGGTCGATCATCCATCGCATCATGTACCAGAAAACATTCATGGATGCAAAGCAGGTAAAATCATATCCTAGATAGGCAATCAGTTCACACCAACAGTCATTTGACGGGCATGGTCAGTTACCCTGACATTTCACGCTGTGCACCATGCGAGCAGCCCATTGCGACAACAAACATGACCTGTCAAACTGATCCTGATCGTACAATGCTGCGATGTTTGGGTGGTGTCCAATTATGCGGTTGGCCGGCTCACCTTCCCTGAGAAGGCTTGTGGCTTTTTGGTATATATCGCCAAATGCATTGCTCATGTCCCCCGGATCCAGCTCAGTGTTGAGTGTTGTAGCAGCCCAGTTCGGTACGAAGATGTTGCGTATTTGCGCGTCTTGTATATGGCGAGGATATCCGTTGGCTCTGATACTATTCGAAAGTGCAAGGTTTCCAAAGTTGTTTTCGTAATTCGGGTACATTCTGATCGCTGACTCGTTCAGCTTCTGTTCTGATAGTGTATTCAGTTTGGATGTGAAATTGGCCTGTATGCTCTCTGAATGTTCGTTGGCGACGCTCAAGGTCGCAGAGTCTATGTCCCGTGTTTCTTGCGGCACGGGCGTGGTTATCGATGTTGAGAGATAATAATCATTATGGTTAAACAGCGGCTGGAAGAATAGACTCGCGCGTTCTGTCTGATGTGCGACTGTTCTTTCGTTATCGTGTTGGTGAATCACAGTAGGTAAATCGCCCGGAGGAGGATAGCTCGTCGAGGGGATGGATGACTGGGAGTGAGGAAGCTGTGGCGGGTAGAACGGAACGCTTTCGCAGTTGTAAATACAGGCCTGTGTAAGTTTATTAGTACCGAATATAGGGACGGCGATTCAGCATCTCGATTCTTACTGGAGTGTTTGGTTGGGTATAATCGATGGGCATCTCGGTAGATGTATAATCTGGCGTAGAGATTACGGAAGCGTTTGCTGTGTAAGAATTCACTGCTGCTGATTCCATAGCAATGAACGAGTCACTCTCTGGCGAAGACTCTTCTCGCATCGTACTCGAGCTGTTTGCACTGAAGGACTTGGAGTGGTCAACTGGAAAGGAATGCGAAGTACCATTGGCAACATGCCCTAGTATTGGTTGGTTCAATGTGCTCGATAGTCGACTATCATCCACCACCTCCATCTCAGGATTTGTTGTTCTGTCGCTTTTCAGCAACTCGGTTATCTCGGACGGTTGTTTCTCTTCCTCTAGCAACTCGGACACGGCACCTCTCAATTCAGCAGAGCCATTGGCCATTTGCCTCAATAAAAGCTTCGCAGCTTCCAGCTCATCTTCAAGCTTTTTATTGGCCTCTTGTAAACCCCTGACCCGCGATTCTTTTATATCGGAGTCGTATACGCATTGTCGGTCGTATTTCGAGCAGTTGGCGCAAACCGGCTTTTCTCCATTGCACTGTAGCGGATTAGCCAGCTAAACTCCCAGCAATACCAACAACTGCACCTTTGCCTTTCGCTTCCGACATTCCCAGCACGCCGATTTGATGGTTCCTGATCGCTTGGCGATAGCTCGCTCGACGAGAGTGGTGGGAGGAGCTGTACCGTCCCTCGCAGGCGCGGCCCTGATAGGCCTGTATGGTAATGCCATGAAGGAGATCGTTCGGTTCTCCAATTACGCCTGGTATTGCTGAACAGTGCGAGCAGGACAAATATATCAAGAGGAGATTATAAGGGTCCAAATTAGGGGTCCAAGAATTATTTCAACGATTATGATGTCACAAACTAGACAGGTTAAGGGTATCTGGAAGCCTTTCCGTGAATGGTGATTGAGCGAGAAAGTCTCAGCCGCTTCGTCATTCTAGCGGGACTACTCCATAGATATGGAACTATGACGTGCCACTAATGCAGCATGTTGAAAGTGGAACTATGGGAATAACACGGCTTCTGTAGATGCCCCAAACAGACCCTTTCCTCTCATCCCTTTGCTCAAGAGCGCTTTTTCTTGATTGACTTTCTTTCCATGGCTACTGCGCCAGCCATACTGAGAAGGGCCAATGCCAAGGGAATATACAGCGTCTGCACTACCGCGTTCTCGTAGCCTGATAGAACGTTCTTCAGCCTATCAGGTCCAATTGACTCCCTCAACTTAGACAAACCCGCTTCTTGAATATGTGTAGTATTTGTCCCGGGTGCAGCATATTGGATCTCTTTTGACAAGCGGTCTTGGAATAATGTTGCGGAGGCACAGATCCACAAGGCAGAGCCCATTCCCGCACCGAAAGTGATGACTGCACCTCCAAGAGATACGTCTTCAATAGGGAGAACAGCTTGCAAGGCTAACTGTGGACCTTGAAGACCGAGACCGACTGCCAAGCCGAGAAAGGTGAGGAGGCCAACGGCTTTGGCGATTTGTTCTTGGAGATCGAGAGTTGTGAGAAGACCAGAGGCAATGGGTGTGAGGACGCTCGTGGCCAACATGAATGCTGGGGCTGTCAGTACTGGTCGAAAGAGCTCAGAGGCGACTTACGGTAATAGTATCCGATCAATGTAGTTCCAACACCAGAAATAATGAATGCAATTGCCAAACCACCAACCATGGGAAGAGCCAGCAACCCTGCCTTTGTAGGTGAGTATCCACGTACGCCTTGGAAGTATATAGACATGTAGTACTCGGTCACAGCCAACACTCCCTCGCAGCACGCACCGTACCACATTCCTGCAATGATACTCCTCTGCTTCAAGATCCTGGGCGGCAATAGAGCGTTGTCACCTTGACGATACTGCAAGTAGCCGAATGCCACGAATAGAAGAGCGCAAACAACGAGAGGAACAATAATCTGCCAAGTTCCCCAACCAAACTTTGTGCCTCCCCATTGCAGTGCCATGAGAAGAAAGGTAATAGCTGGTACAGCCAACAGCGTGCCAAAGAAGTCGACCTTCTTAACCTTATCCTTCAGACTAAGAACAGGCGCATCATGACGCGGAGGCTGTTCATGAACTCCATAAGCCGTCAAGGCAAGACACAAAACGCCCAGCGGCAAATTAACACCAAAACAAGCCCTCCACGAAAATGCATCTATGAGCGCACCGCCAATCGTAGGCGCAGTGATGAGGCCAACGCTCTGGATCGATCCAAAGAAACTATTGGTCATAGCTTGTTTGGACAGCGGAAAGCATTGACGGAGGAGTTTGAACAAGCCGCTGTTGATGGCACCGCGGCCCAAACCGCTGACTGCACGGCCGAGGATGAAGATTGCGGAGGATGGTGCGAGAGTGCAGATTAGAGAGCCGATCTCGAATGTGGCGATGCCGATTAGGAAGACGGCTTTGATGGAGAAGAGGGTGTAGATTTGGCCGAAGCTGGGAGGGTTAGTGGGGTGGTGGTAAAGGTATGGGGGCGTACAAGAAGACGAAGGCGCTGAGGGTCATGCCGCTGGAGTATAGTTAGAGCTGAGGTGTCGGGGAGGAAAGGGTGCAGGGCTTACTATGCAGCTGAGTACCATCCGATATCTGAGATGGTCTGAAACTCATCTGTGATGCTTGGGACAGCAACAGCGACAATGGTGAGGTCCTGCGAAAGTCGTCAACGGGCTGTCGTTCTAAGGGTCACGAAGGCAATCAAGTTACAAGTCCACTGAGAAAGCACGCGATGGCCATTGAAGCCATGGTCGACCATAGCTTCGGTCCAGTGGGATAGACTATGTTCTCCTCATCATCACGAGGCTCTTCAATCTCCAAGGCGGAAGCCGGTCTGGATTGCTGAGTGGTGTCGTTCACCTCCTCGGCGACAGGGTTCGCCAGTGGTGGTTCAGTCAGTACTTCAGAAGCCATGGCCTTACGCTGCAAGAGGATTTAAGGCTTCAATTGTTACGACTCGCGAGACCAAAAACAGGGTCCGAAGACACGGCGTTCAAGACTTTATATTACACTGCGAATTGAGGGATCTACGATGTAGAGGTGCACTTATTGCTGACAGACGCGTTCAAGCTTACACCATCTGCAGCGGCTAAATGGCTTCATGACGTGTTTTGGGGAAGTTGGAGGGGTTTTGAGTGTCTTGGTTGATGGAATTGAGAAAGCCACTGATCTTGAATCTGACTGCTGACGAACTGCTTCATCTGGTCCGTGAATTGCACAAAGTGGTGCGTAAGTAGAACGCGTTTGATGAGGCGGCGGTTTACAGTCAACACAGGCTCCAAGGTCAACCAGCGATGCCATTCATTGGTATTGGAAAAGGACGGTATGTTCATGAGTGTACCCGCTGTGCCGCAACGACGCTTCATGCCCTAACCAGACGAGCCAGGCCCCTGCAAGACGAGTGGAACACGGCTGACTCCCAGTGGAGTATACCTACTGGGTCATTTCACTTCACTGAATGACATGCCATACCCTAGACCGTTCCACGACCTTGGGCCCGATCATTTCAAGATATCAAGAAATCACCGTGACCAAATATAACAATGACGCTGCGATTATAAACAGACTGCTCTTTATCATCCTTCGGCTCTTGTTATCTTTGCATCCTCGGCAATCGATGCTCAGACCATGTTCAATCAGACCAATAACGGTAATGCCGTGAAGTGGCGGGCGGAATTACGCTGACCCGGGCGGTTGGGTTGCCTAGTCAGATCAAGCCAGAATCACAATCTTGACTGGAACATCGACAGCAATCGAGAGCGACATAACGCCGTTGGCGCTGTATTGCAACGCCAAAATGTCTATCGACCAGAGAGTCCAGATTTGGCTCAGCAACGTCCAACAATCCACCGACGACCCTTCGCCTACTCCCGAGCCATACCTTGACGTCCCGCCGCCTAATCCCATGAAACGCCGTCGAGTCGATTCACCACCTCGCGAGATGAGACAGGAGCACATGCCATCACCCAACGATCCGCTTTACGAGATCAAGAAGAGATGCTTCCTACTTCAAGCTGAACTCGACAGGAGGTACGCCGAACAGGAAAAAAATGCTTTTCGAGCGCTCAAGAAACGGGCGACCAACAACAACCAAGTGTCCTCCTCCGAGCTGCAGCATCAATACTGTAACTTTATCAGCTACAGTACAGGCAAGGTTGAACGACGGCTCATCAGCAGAAGAGTCGAGCCGATCCCGCAGCCTTTGTCAACACCATCCCGCGTAACCTCTGCGACAGGTTTGGGGTCCTCCCATTCGGCACGTCCACTCCGATCGGAAGAAGTCAAGGTCGAACCCGACACTGAACCTGTATCGTGGCCACGGCAAATCAAACCCGAACCCGATCTCGAACCTATGCCTCCTGTGCAGATCCCACGGGATACAAGAGTCGAGCCCTTTATCGAACCCCCACAGACAACGTTAACGACCCTCCTCAATCAAATCAACGACATCTACGCCGGTCGCGGTATTTTCCCACCCGATTTCCAACCCATCCTCGACCTCGCAAGGAAATCAAATAGCTATAAAGACTGGACCTGGCTCCGAAATGATACTTCTAGTGATATCTTCTCTTCTCAGCGACGTGTGTTTGGTCGGGTGCCTGGTCTTGCTCAGGGCGGCAAGATTATGCACCAGGCAGCTCTATGTGCTCAATTTAACGCACCGCTGTCAGAGTGGAATATGGAGGTCATACACAGGGCTCTTGAGGTGTCTTTGAGGGACGAGAATGGCTTTGGACCTCAGCTCATCGACTTTAGATCCAGGTGAGAGACCATCTCCAGCTTTTCTCAATCCCGAGCCCAATACTAATGTTGTGTTTCACAGCGCGGGTGGTGAAATCATGCGCGAGTACCATTCAGATCTCGATACCCCTCAGCCTCCCGATTTCTGCGTCTATGTAGAACCAGCCCGTGACAAGGACGCGGTCTTCCCCGTGCTCATCAAGCATATACAGAAGAAACTTAAGAGGAAGATCTTCAACCACATCGACGTATCGTCTCTCAAAGAGCAACCGATAGCCTTCCACATACACAATCTACCGCACAACACGACCCTCGAGCTTCAACGTGTACGAACCGCCCTCGCCGCACAATGGGCTTTTCTCAGGGACTTGGTGCGATTGAGAGAGATGGCCGAGATTCTTCGCTATGGCTGGCGGGGCGCGGATCCTTCGGTGTATGAGCTTCCCGTGTTCCTCCCGGGCGTCATCATCTATAAACATAACTGGTTCCTCAGCATCTGGAAACAAGGCGAAAGGGATGCGAGGTACTATGGGATTGGCGATACGGCGACTTCGATTGGTGTTTACAAGATCATTTGTTCGTTGCAAGTTCTGCAGAATTGGATTAAGAATGAGTATTGGCCTTGGATGCGGCGCCTTCTTATGGGCTGGCCTTTGGATGGGGATGGAAGGCCTATGATGTAACAATGTTTTTAGCGATACCCCTAGATTGTCGTGATACCCATACAGCGTCGATTAATGCACTTTAACTTCTTTTTTGTCCTTGGCCTCAGCGTGAGGTTTATTTAGTTGAGTATACAATCTCAGATATTTCTTCTCTCGTCAAGACCTTTCCAAATGAGAACATTACATCCGTCATGGTCTTGTCGATGATCTGCTCAATCTGCTCGTCGATCGTAACCCCGACCTCTTTTAGTGTACTCGGCAGCCCTGTAACCTTCACAAGCCGCGCAACGCAATCCCCCGCCTCCGTTTCCTCCCATCCCAATGTGTCATTGAAGACCTTCACGATCTTTGCTTGCGCCTCAGGGTTTCGCCCCTTGGTGTATCGCAGCACAGGCGGGAGCATAATACAGCTCGTAATACCGTGCATAACCTTTCCAACACTGCCGAGCTGATGGCCAATGGCATGACTGGCGCCCATATTCACTCTGTAAATGATAAAGCCCATGAGCGCCATGCGACTTCCGGCTTGACACTTGCTCACGCCGTGAACAAGCTCATCTTCACCGTCTTGTCCTTTGCCCAATCCCTCTTTATACTCAACCAATCCCTTTGCCAAGTCTCGCAATGCTTTTTCGCACCATTCTTGCACATCGGGATACTTTTTACATTCGGGATTGCATAGCGTCTCAACGCAATGGTCCACAGCACGTATTCCAGAGCTGAGCCACAATTTCTCGGGCGATGTTCTCGCAACCCATGGATCCATGAGGATTAAATCTGGCGCACCACCATCATGAAGCGAGAAATGCTGCTTTTTCCCCGCGCTGTTAGTGCAACTCGCTGTATGGTTCCATTCCCCCGCCGATAAACTCGTTGGAACGAGAATTAGCTTCACCTCCTCTGCTTTCTTCATCTTATCCTGCGGCGCAACGCCTTTTTCTTGATCAAGAAGCTCTTCCATGTCTTTTTCGCCAAATCCAGCCGGGAGAGTAGCGGACATCAGACGCGCGACTTTGCAAGCGTCAGAGTAAGAGCCGCTGCCAATACTGATGACACAGTCTATCTTGTGCTCTGTGATTCTGTGGGCAATGTCGATGACATCTGAGTATGGGGAATGGGAGCCGACGCCTTCCTTGATAGTGGTGAGGCGTTCGCCAAGAGCTTCTTTCAAATCGGAGATAACAGATGTGTTTTGGGCGAGAGCTTTGCTGTGGATCAGAAGAATGCGCCGAGAATTCCATTGTTCGAGGGCGGAGAGGATGTCTTCTTGGCTGTGAGAGTTGAAGATTGCGTCTGAGCCTGGACGATGTCCGCCCTCGAGCTGGGGAATGCGATATGTCTTGAATGTACCTGTCATATTGAGGGCATGCGATTGAGATGGAGCTTCAATAAGTCATGAGTCTGATGAAAGATCTATGTTTTTGGAGATATGAAGAAGTGAGCTTTGGGTCCTTCGGGCCAAAGTGGATTAGTGACGTTTTAATTATGACGCTTTGCCGAGTTCCGAGCCACTATTCCCACTTCATTGCTGACTGTATCTCATGTTGTCAGAGCTATAGTTATGCCGTACATTGTCCTATATTGCATTGAGTGGGTATTTCTCCAAATCTAACACCCAGTGGTAAGGCTATAAAAGATAAATTAGTGAATAGCTTGACTTGTATTTTATGCCATTGCAGCCTCTCGCGGAAAATGCGGCCTGGAAATGGATGGACGAACATAAGCCACCATTTGGTGCCGTTTCTTTGCTCCTGCTAATACCTTTTGGACCCCGAATGGACCGTATTGAAGACATGGATACCTTAAACTCAACAGATTCTATTCTTTGGCAACTGGTGGATAACCAAAGTCTACCGCCTCTTGCTTTTGCTGGTGTTATTGACGTACAAGATATTGCGATGCTATTAGAGCTGTAGCTATTGTGGAGAAGTTTAAAAGTTAGGAGAAAATAATAATTCCATCAATCTCTACATGTATAGGGTAGACATATACTGAAATTATATTAACCCTTAGCAGTTGTGTTCTTTGGTGTCGTTGAAGCGAACTCTCATAGCTGAAAAACCCTGGATGAGTAATTGTGGATCGCAAGAGCGAAACAAACGAAGATACGAGCGTTGCGAGACTTCAGCAGCCCCTTGCACCAGCACCCTGATTATGAGCTAACCCAATTGGACTGTGACGGGGCTCGACTTGGCGAGACAAGCTCCAATCAACATTTGAACCCTTTCTTGGAGTCCGAACTAAACGACAACCCGACCGGAGCGAAGACGAGATGACATTTGACAGGATTAGACCTACGTCAACCCGAAGTCCGAAGGCGGCTCCGATATAAGCTTGACTTTGACTACGGAGTATCAAATCTTGCATATGCCATGTATAAGAACATGACTGACTGCGTCTTTTGTCCATGAAACCTGTCTGTCACGGAACCACCATATACGATCATGTCGACTCTTCCAGACGGGCTCATCGCCTTCGGTCCAAACACAAATTGCACGTTAGATCTGTGTCCCCTCGAGGCAAGCATCTTCCGCTATCGCCCATCCGTCCCAGCCAACTCCATCTTTATCGGCATCTTCGGCCTCTGTCTGATAGCACATACAATCCAAGGCGTCTTGACTAGATCATGGGGCTTCATGGCTTGTATGGTCGCCGGTTGTGTTTTGGAAATTGCTGGTTATGCCGGCCGTATTGTCCTCTACGACAATCCCTTTAGCTTCAATGGATTCCTTGCGCAGATTAGCAAGTATCTTCCTATTCCTCTTAGTAACTCCGCGAGCACGACTAACATCTCAACCTCTTTCGTGTTATAGTCTGCATTACCATTGCGCCCGTTTTCTTTTGTTCCGCTATTTACGTGCTCTTGTCCCAGGTGTAAGACACCTAACCGACCTATGGCCCCATCCTCAAGGTCAGCCTGCTGACGATTCGCAGCATCTACCATCTCGACCGATCTATATCTCGATTCGATCCCCGCGTCTTCTACTGGATGTTTGTTCCATGTGATATAATTTCCCTGATTCTTCAAGCCGTTGGCGGCGCCTTCTCAGCCACTGGGACAACTAAAAAGGACGTAGATACTGGAGTCGACATTTCTCTGGCTGGTCTCATTTTCCAGGTCATCACCCTTGTGCTTTTCTGCTTTCTTTTTGCCGACTACTTGATTCTGTGTCGAAAGTCAAACCTTGCACGCTCGGGTATGACGAAAGCAATGACGGTCTTCCTAACTTTCCTCTTTCTATCCATACTCTTGGTTCTCATTCGATGCACGTTCCGTATTGTTGAACTGCATGAAGGTTACTTCAGTCACTTTTTCCGCCAAGAAGGGGAGTTCATTGGTCTTGAGTCAGCGTGAGAACTGTCCATTTTTAGGCGTTCAAATCAGATGCTAACAGACCACCAGAGTTATATGTGCTGCCGTTATCTGCCTCAATATAGGCCATCCAGGCAAGACTCTCGCCACGAGAACAGGCAAGCACAGTGAACCACAGTCGCCATTCTCAATTGAACTCAATGATGGTGCCACACTATAGCGCATTTGTGCAAACATTGCGTGTTACTAGATGCGGCGAGAGAATAAGACAAAGGCTAAGAATAATAGCAATAGAATGGTTATATAGACTGATAAAGAAATAGTAGAGAATTAGAAAAGATACAGTAAATATACAATATTTAAGTAAAGAATATAAGTTTAATTATAATTATTTTCTTATTTTATTTTTTAAAAAGTTCTTAAATTCCTGGGCATATAACTACAGCCTAAAGTATCAGGGGATTTTCACTCTTGAACGTACGGAGTACATACAGGCCAGTGTCCACTACAATATCTCGCTATAAACCTTAAAAGCGCCTCTTCACTGTTAGTCATCCCCCTGAACAAAAACTAACTAGCCTGTTTTACATTTAAAACCAGGGCATACTGGAGATATTATTCTCCCTTGTCATCCCCATAACCACGACTCTTCAATCTTCTCTTCAAAGTCATCACATACCTCAATCATTACCCATTATCCGATTCATGCTGGAAAACGCACATTCTCCTCAAAAATATTCGTCCAAACCTACAGCCATAGTCGTTTCACAATGTCAGATAGTCAGACCATTCCTAGCACCCGACGAAAGACGCATTTCAAGTCTCGCACAGGCTGTCGAACGTGTCGTTCCCAAGAAAGTCAAGGTAAGCAGTCCATTCACCAAACTGCAGTAGCCACGCCCTTTTGAGAACCTAATTCTGTATCAGTGTGATGAAGAGCGTCCCTCTTGCCGCAAATGTCTCAAGAGGAGCCTGCAATGTGATTATCTCGATGGAGACGTCAGAACGAAGCCGCAAACTGACATCACCAAGAGCCTTCTTGACGTGGAACTAATGCATCACTTCACCATCTCAACAGCCGTAACGCTTGCCCCTGACGCCATCGTGCGTGATCTATGGAGAACCGATATTCCTCAAATGGGATTTGCCACGGACTATGTTCTAGATGGGATCACCGCCCTTGCTGCTCTGCATTTGGCGCGGTACGACTCCAATCGACGAGATGCGCTTCTTACTCATGCATCACTGTGTCATACCAACTCCCTATCAAAGGCATTGCCTCTCATCACGCATGTCACGTCGCAAAACTGCAGCCAGCTGTTCATATTCGGCATCTTAACGCTGTTTTTCAACCTGGCTAGGCCTATAGAAAAGGAAGACTTCTTCCTTGTTGGGCGTGGTGTAGTGCCGGAGTGGCTCTATCTCCTTCGCGGCATTGATACCGTTGTCCAAGGCCAGGATGCTATCATGTTGTCATCCGTCTCCTTAATATACAAAACATCCTTGTCAGCTTTTGACTTTTGGCACGACCATTCACCCGAAACCTTTGATCCACTCAGTCAACTACAATGCCATATTAATGGAATTCCCGACGCGGGAAACGAAGCGAAAAAGAAAGCCCTCAATCAAGCGGCGTCGGCTCTCACTCGAAGCTATACTTTCCTCTACGGCGATCAGTTTCAGGCACAGGACAAGTTTAGAGGGTTTTATATGTGGCTGTTCGAGATCAGCGATGAGTTCCTCACATTGCTGAGCAATGCTGATCAAGAAGCACTTTGTGTGCTTGCCTTCTATACGACGATTATTAGAGAATTGGAGAAGTATTGGTGGGTTCAAGGTTGGGCGGCACATCTAATGAACAGAATCTTTCTTTCACTGGATGGAGAGCATAGGTTATGGATCAGATGGCCCATTGAGGAAATCGGTTGGGTTCCAGGTTGTACTTTTCGTTAATAGTGTTAATTGTACGGGGCTATAGTTTTGAAGTATTTGGCTTATATCAAGTCCAGTGCACTGGAGATGCTCAAATTCCTTATTGAGGTACTAAACAGTAACTTCAACGCATTATTCAATCAGGCATCTCCAGTCATAGCTTTCATGCCCTGAGTTGCTAGGCTGTATTCCCGCGTCCTTGCTTACTGTATGTCATGGCCTTGCGCTATAATAAACTTATACCTTTTTTGTGAAAGGCCTTTGAGACTTTTACATTATACGAGTCCACTATTTTGCAAGGCGATCTCTTAACTTATTTCACTGTCGCGAATGTTATTGCTCGGTTTGCCGATGGGTGGCCTTATCAGTCCATTGCAGACTGCTCACAAAAGGTTGAAACTGCAGAATGAGTAGGAGATACTGCATACTTTGTTGCTATGGCCTAGGCTTTCAGCAAGGCGTTCTTCAGAGTGTTGTACAAAGCTTTAGGGCATCACAAGAACACGTTGCCCATGTGGTCTATAAGAGCTCAATCAGGGCTAGACAAGTCTAAATGCTTATTTTAGTTGTTGCGTAACAGTCATCTAGGAGTCCTTCTTATCAATAAGCCACTAGATCATGGACTAGCATTAGACTCTACTCAGTGAAACAGATCAAGGTTATACAGTTTGAAGAGAAACGCCCCTTGTTTGTGCAACTAGGCTGTGCATACTATTTATGGCAGACGTTGCGAATTGAAGAGGCTGTGAAATCTGACATAGCCAAGTGTTCCAGTATACAGTGCCAGGCGATAGAAAACCACAAGAATGCCTTGAGGAGCCCAGCGTGATGGTAGCACAGGTTGCTTCGTCAGCACAGTGCTCCGTCAAGTCGGGGTGTTGTACAAAGACGCTCAATGTCATGTCATGCAACATATTTGGACAATTCTCCAGATTTGTGATAGACACAGCCTGGTAGCACATGTTTCAGGAAGAGGCAGAGACAAAGGTTATGCAGCTGCATAGCCGCGTCAGATAGGTTACTATTATTGTAATCAAGTCCTGCAAAGTCACACAAAGTCACACAGATCCTGGCTGTCCGCGATCTCATCCATTCCCTGCGGCTGTGTATGCACGCTGTACCTACGTCCTAGCCAGCACCATATCCTTTATTAAGGGGGCTATTTGAGCATCTAGAACCACTGCTCTTGGTTGTTCTGCTGTCTCCTTGGTCGTTGACAGTAGAGCCGTGCTGGTTTCCGAGAACTCTGTTGCTCTCGAGACACTCTCAGTGTTGGACGTCGTGGTGGCGGAAGCGATTTCGGCTGAAGAAGAGTCAAGGGAGACCGTAGAAGAATTATCATTTTCGGGGCGCGACTGGGTAGTCTCCGTCGAGGACACGATCGAAGTAGCCGTTAAGGTAGCATCAGATACAGAGCTTGTCGCACCCAAAGAGCTTTCAGTTAATGTCTGACTCGACTCGGGCTTGCAAGGACCAGCAGCTACACTCTGGACCCCAATAGCCAAGCCAAAAAGGGCTGCCGATGCCTTAAAAAAGTACATGATCGCTCAGAAGGTGCAAATGGGGAAGAGGAGATCCTCCGTCTTTCATAAGGCGGATTCTTCGATGTAAATAAATATTAAAATAGGAGTTGCCAAGCCTTAGCCCCAGAACCTATTGCGAACTATCGATTGCAATTTAATTCAGGGGACTAAATGTAGCGCCTCCATTCATCCAGGCGGATCTAGATCGGTTGCCTGGATACACTAAATTTCCCGATCCTGCCCTGTAAGCTAACTTAGTTCAGCACCAGTGACCAGCTATCCCATGCACCTGCCACTCACTCGGTCGCTCCAATTACATGCTAATAGAGAGTTTAACTTCAGAACATACTAATTATATTACTTATGCTTCACTGTAGAGGCAAAGCTAGTCATGATCATGCTCCTTCTAACAGGGAATAGTTGCAGTATCAATGCGGTATGAAGACGTAACAGATCGTCAAATCGAAGAAGTAGAAGCAGCTGCCTCTATCATCCTTTGCCGGTCATGAGCCACTCGTTCGCGAAATTTCAAGACACTTGTAGCATAAGACCAAGTTTTATAATCACGAAATTCACCAAGTCGCTCAGCATCCACTTCAAATCTGGCATGTCGAATATCGTGAAGCACCTTTAAATCATCCGCCCAATCTGGGAGGCTCTGAAAGAATCGATCGCGAGCGCCCCAGCCTTCGCCACGATAAGTAAGCCATCGTTCAACGGTATGATTCATAGGAACATGGATGTCGACATCCAACGCCCGCAGACCAGTACTCTCCCTGGACATCATAGTCCATAATGCTCTCCAGGCAGCCCGATCGACGACACCTGGAATGTTGACGGATGGGCCGAGGATGAGATCTAGGTGCAGAAAGCGCAAGTAGTGCCAACTTGGACCTTGATGTATTCTGAACGCAGATAAATGCGGTAGATATGTAAACGAAAATGCATTGTGTGAGAGTAGAACAAGAGTAGCTTCGGTGTGTATAGCCTTACAGCTCGAGAGGAGCTCTGAGCTTTTCCATCTTGTGCTAGAAGCAACGGTTTGTTCGTTCACAATAAAGGATCCGAAGCTACCAAATGCCACTGAATGTTTCGGTTCTATCAACTCCGGCTCTGGCGGTACATTAGGTAGCAAGATCATGTCTAGAGGTCGCCAAGCGGAAGCCAAAGAATCGGCAAGGTCTGATTGAGAACGTGTAGGCTCTCGATACGGAGCAACACGTGCCACAAAGTGATGACGACTGCGGTTGTAGATGGGCGCATAGATGAACCTCTGACCAACGCAGTACTCCCATATGCGCAAGCGCACTTGCAGTGGTAGTCGGAATAGACACGATTGAGGCTGCTCGTGTTGTCCCGATTGAATGCCTGTCGGCCTTGGAATGGGTGTATTGAGTCCAGCTACCAAGTCTTGATGGTATTTACGGTCTTTTCTAGACTTGGTCTTGCACCGAATGCCATGCAGGATGTTCTGTGGAAGCTGGCGCGAATAGTTCCAGACATCTTTGAGAGGTAGCCCGCAACCACAGCAACATAGCAAAAAGGTCAATGGCATGGAATAGAACTCGAATTTGTCGTCGATTCTTCTCTCGTAGCTTTGCCACCAGGTGTCCTGTACATGGCTTGGATGCTGCGGAAGGTGCGTCATTCTGTGGGTGACGAAATGGTTTAGATATGATGGTAGTTATGGGTAAAGGAGAAAGGGTTGTTGGAGAGAGGACGATACCTCGGGATTTGGAAGTCGAGCGGAATCAGTTCCACTGCTTATCTCATCGCTATGGGCTGGGTGCCCTAGGCCTTGACTAGTCGAGCATAGCCACTGGTAAGGCTAATCCAAGTAATGCTGATCAGGCAGCCTTTGCCATGAGTCACCGAGACTTATTCCCCGCGGATCTGTCAAACATGGACAAAATATGACTCTAACTTCAAATACAGTCGGTGATCTTATAGACACAATGCTAGACCCTTTAAGTGATCCCCCCCGCACCCCACGAAGTACAACGTCTTTTCCTTACCGTCACAAGCGCCCTTTGAATCCTAAAACTTAGTGCGCCCTCGCACAGTCCAGTATGCCCTATCGTCTTCAGAAACAAACCAACGGCGAACCTGCAAAAATACAAAAATGCACATTCTACTCATGGTATCGCCCATGCGGCCACTATAAGCAACGCTACTGTACCAGATACCGAACACCAAGACAGTGCTGTACCTGCGCCGACCCGCGGCCACTGCGTCCAGGCGGTCGCTACTCACGGTACATCGACGGCACAGGATGGGACCGCCATACGCCAAGATGGGCAGACTATTGTGAGGGGTGCCAGAAAGCAGAGAAAGGGTACGATATACTTCAGTCAGCGGTCGCGGTTTGCGAACACTGGAGAAGGGGCCATTGTATCGGATATGGGGTCTGTTGTATGTGTTCAGATACCCGGCCGCAGTCTCATGATGGTCTCTATCCGCTGTATATTAATGGGATTGGGTGGGTGTATGGCGCGACGAGATAGCAGTTTTACTGTCAATTCTGGAAGGATATGCATAGGATCGAAGCCCATGGGGAAGAAGACACTTAAATTCATGGCTTCTGTCACTATAAAGAGCAGTATTTTGTAGCGGTTGAGAATACGAGTTTCTTGGATTTTATTTCCCAGGATTGGTGCAGGGTTCAGACACGAGCGAAGTTGGCCCGTAATAAGATGTGATTGGTTCATCTCCCTCAATCAGCGTGAGTTTACTCCTCTTATATTCTGGTTTGGAATAATGAAGCGACCGCCATGGCAGTTTACTACGAGAGCAGCCGGTCTATTCTAAGTACCATCGGCTTGGTAAACTTCTTCTTCGCCTGGATTGTGATTGGTATCGCTAGGCTCTCATGGCTATCGACTATCCCTGCGATTGTGTCTGCGGCAGGCGCAGTCGCAAATGGCCTATGCTACTACGCATGGTACATGAACTCTGGCAAGGCAAAGACAGCTAGTGCTTACGCCGTCGCGGATATCCTTTGGATGGTAAGTTGGTGACTTAGCATCTTGACGCGTCAGGTTGAGTGATTTGGCTAACTGGTCTAAGATCCAAGAGGCAGGGCTGTCCTTTTACAGCTATATCATACTCAAGCAAGTTCTGCAAAACAAGGTTCGACGGATATTTTTGATCCTGTTCTGGTTCTTCATGCTATGTATCTGCATGGCCAGAATACTACTTCTGGTTTATAGAGTCAAGTCTATTTTCACGGGTGAGGAAGCATTTACGGACGTGGTGAACGGCGCCCACGTTGGTTATTTCTTCTCGCTAGCTTCTGTCGAGTGCCTCAGCGCCTTCTTCCTCCTACAAGTATTTGTCAAGGCCAAGAAGACGTCCGAGCAGCTTTAGCTTAGGTCAGATTTCTCTAGATATCTTATGCGAAGCACCGAGTTACGACTGGCTTGTTTGGCGTTGATCGGTGTTTCAAGGGCAATTACCTTTCTGTTCCACCCTCCAATTAGCGGCGCGGCAAGTATCTCAAGTCAGATCGATGTATTTTTATACACACTTGAATGCCTCTTTCCCGTCGTTTTATTGTGAGTACCCTCTAATATTCATCTCAATTACTGGTTGCTAATTAAGGATGGGAACAGTATCGACCTACTGGCCTCGAAGTTGACATTCACTCAGGGTTCTCAAAACGAGTCGTATCACCTAACGCAAAGAAGGACTGTTGGTAGAGAGCGACTTCCATCAGTTGATAATGCGTCCTTTACACGCCCTGTAGATCTGGAGCATCAGAATAACCCTCAGTCTAAGGAAATCACCCGTTTTACCACCCGGAACTGGACGTCATCATCCTCGAGAGAATCGAGACATATAAACATTGACAACGGCTCAAATACTAGTCAGGTGGGCATTATCAAGACGGTTACCACTACAGTTACAACTAGTACTTGATTATTGCAGGATATAATGGGATAACCCCTGAATTAATACTAAGAGGCCTGGATAATTAAATAAAGCTTGGAGTCCTTGTTTTTAATAGTAGGAAAGTAAAAGTTTCTTTGAATAATTTATTATATTACTATATATTCTTATTACTTCTTATAATATATTTAATGAATAAGTATTATTAATATTCTCCCTCTAAAATATCTTTAATATTAAATCCTTCCTAAATATTACCTATACCTCCTGTGTTGCACAGCTGAACCCGACCAGTAAAAGTCATCCTCGGGTAACGGAATGCTCACGCCATACATCTCCTTGACCCTAAAACGCCTGGAAACTGAAAACGGCGCATCATTCCATAGCTCAGTATCATCCTGCTTCCAGGGCAAATGGATGTCAAAGCGCTCTAAATGTCCCATCGCAACCAGCGGTGCAAGCATGTCTCTCTCCATCCCCACAAACTGTCCTCTCCCATCACCAGATAGCCAGACCACAATTCGCAGGGTCCGCAGATGCGATAGTTTGACGAGCTCAGCGCAGACTTCATTCCATAGCATTTGAGTCTCGGGCGCTGGGACGTCCAGGGAAATGTCCCAGGCTTGAGGGTGGCTATCGTAATACTGACTCACACCAGCATATAGATGCCATCCGACTTCCATGTGTCGCATGGAAGCAATGTGTTGTTTTGGAAGCATAGTGTCCAGCGATGTGAGCGCTGACTTTGAGCTGGCTTGGCCAAATCCGAAGCAGAAGGTGTTATTGGAGTAGAGGTACGAGATAGATTCCATGTATCTACGGACTCAAGTCAGTATTACTCCATGATGAACCTGGGAGGGTACATACGCTGCGCGACATACCAGCGGGACTTTCAAGAGTCCTCTTTGCGGTAGCCACTGATAATACTCTGACTCGAACACAGATTGCCTCAGTCTGCCACGATGCACAGTCAAGTGCACCTTGTGACTCCCCACGACAAGGCGCCAGATCTGCGCTCGCACTTCTAGCGGCAATTTGCTAAACAGCAATGATCCCGATTGCGCATCTTGTAGCGAGCCGACAGCAGAGAACTTTTCTTCCAGCGATTGAGTATAGGGCACACTCCAGTCGCGAGGGTCAAAAATGGGCTTTGGCTCCCACGCGTTATCTCTATGCGTATCAGGATGCAGCTTCCTATGCATCTCCTCAATCTCGCGCGGCGTGAGAGGTTCTTTCGGGAGTTTGGAGCCACGATACTTGTACTTAGCATCGGTGTTTCTACCAAGCAAGCGATTTGAAAAGTCCATAGTGCCGGTGTTTGGTGGTCTTTAGTGTGAATCGGGTGAGGAAGATGTCGTCCAGCGTGGTATGCAATTGAGTGATGAGGGAAAGGGTCAAATGGGGTTGTCTCTCCTTTTATTGTCGATGCAAGTTGGTGGCATACCGGTAGTTAAGTAATAAATAAATAAGAGCACTATCAGTCTGCCAGGAACCGTATTGGGCGGCCTCAGACTTGTTGAGATGCAATGCCCAACGGTGCAGACGGCAAGAAAAACGCCCAGTTCATTTCGATCAAAGTCATGCCTGCGGCTGAAAGCCTTGGGCTGACTGGAGGCCAGCGCTTATCTCGGCTTCGGCAAGATAGCGTCAGATTAGTTCCGCGCTTCGGGTCTCCATTCCGCCCTGCATCGGTACTGGGTATGCACTTCCAAGCAGCCCTTACCAATTCGGGGTATTAAAAAATGCCATGGCCGGCTTGCATCTATTCGTAGTATAGGTATAAGAACTAAGCCCAGTTGACCACATGATATTTAGTAATCGATAAAATATGAAATAAGGTGATATCTAATAAATCTAGATACAGTCCTATACTACATGTTTCTATTTCTGAGAGGATTGACAGAACTTGCTCCCTGGAGGTAATTATTAAGCATCCTCTCCTCCTCAGCACTGCACACGTTCGTAGACCGCCCGCGACGAAACTCGTCACCAAAAGGCTTAACAACTGTTGTTGAGACTCTTAACAGACCCCGCAGCTCATCAGCTTCGCCTGCCCATCTCCCACCAAGTATTTCCACGTGTTCCAGGACAACATCACATGGACCTTCAACACGGCCTAGGTATTCTCCGAGTTGGCCAGCTTTTAATCTAGCCCCAACCAGATGCAACCGTTTCAAACGCGTGTTATGTGCTCCGGCAAGCAGTTCATTTAAACTGCGTAAATTAAAAGAATTGATGGTGAGATCTTTGAGACGAGAAGGCTCGAGCAGCGCTGAGAGGAAGTCTGAGACTAATTCCAAGGCATCCTCTTGATGGTCGAAGAACCATCCCGTCATGGCTGCTTTCGCTGCTTCAATATGGAGCGTTTGCAAGTCCCGAAGCGATTTGACGAGTGTAAGTCGCTCAGAGGGAGACATGGAGAGATTGGCGTAGCTACAGGGCGCAGAGCACCGGAGTTTCAACTCTCGCAAGGTTACTCCCGCTCTGTATATCTCAACTGGAAGCCTGTGTAACAAGTCGATTGGTGGTTTGAAATCAGGATCGGGGTAGAGATCTGAAGCGTCTGACCAGGTATGAGGTCTCAACATGACTGCTCGTAGAGATATGCTGTAGTCTCGGTCGACAAGGTAGCCATCTCTCTTGAAAATATCATCTTCTCCATCGGTGATCTCTAACCTATCGGCATGAGGCATTCTCGCCATGGCGGTTGCAACAGTGGAGAGAAAGGTCCCGCTCTCTCGCATTTGCTGTTGCGCTTCAAACAAAAGCTGATACTCACGATGGGCATCTGTTAAGATTTTCCGATACTCGAGGCGTTCATACGAGTCCCACTGCAGGTGCTCCTCTGCGTTATAAATTGGCTCCCAAGCAGAAATCATATTTTTTCCCAACTCAAGTACGTCGTAATCGACCCAATCGGGCACGTTATAGGATCTCCTCTTGTGCAGATCGCCCGGGATCACATTTTTCAGGTGGTCAAGATATTGACTCATACCTTCCATGTGAGAATAGGCGAAGTGGCTGAGGTCGGCTGCCATGCGTTGATCGTAGTACGGGAGCTTGACATGAACGCTGCGCACCCCAGAGCTGATCAATTGGTGATGAGAAACATTCCTGAAGCGCTCCAGAGACGTCTCGGTCAAATCGACAGTTATTTCCGGGATGAGCAGCGGTGAGGCCCACTGGCAGAAACGTCGACACGTCAGTCGGATAGAGCGGATGTCATCAACGCGAGCAGCCGTCGGTTCATCGGGATCTCTTGCGTGAAGTAGAAAATCGAATATACGATAGACAAGTTCTGGAGGTGCAGTGTTGATTGAAGCTGCAGGTCGTGGCTCTGTGTGGAGAATCATGATATATGATGGAGGATGAACATTCTTGTGTAAGGATCTGCTGAACGGTATATAAACCCTATTGCCGTAGGCCCTAATGTAGGGTCCTTATGTTTTCAATCCTACCTACTTATTCGGCATAGTGGTTCTGTACGACATGATCAGAACGGGGTCTCAGCGTTTCTCAAGGCGGTGAAAGCGCATGTGGATTCGGCTTAGTTAGGAACAGGCAAAGTAAGGTTGTATTCCTGACACAGCGACACAGCTAGATAAATTATAACTTAAATAGAAAAACATTACTAAGTGTAAGAGAATCTCAAAAGTATTAAAGTCATCTGTCCAAGCCTCGGGGAATGTTCTTTTTAATTGTTGATAGAAATCTAATATTTAGCACTCACTACCCTTCGCTTCCAGGGCACCAGAAACATCAGGTCAGGAAACAAAACACTGAACCCATTATATCCCTCGCCCCGATCGATGGAATATCACAAGAGCCTAGACACCAAGAGCTCTTCTGAGATTATCATATTAGCTTCTGCGTTTCCAGTCTCGGTGTCGTTGCAGTTGCACTCACGTCAGTGTTTCTCAACCTAGTTTGTCGCTTGGGCCACTGGAAAAATCCTCAAATGCTCTCATCTTGTCGGCCGGTGCGCATGTTGTGACTGTTGCGATAGCTCAGGTAGGTGATCCAAAGCGCTAGAATGGCTACCAAGAGTGACGGAATGCTGGTCGCCAAAGCAATTACAGCGGCAGGGGGGATAGAAGTCATCGCTGAATGGATGGGGTGACTGTCTTCCTTTGGTTGGCTTCGTAATATGGATTGGTCTATCAGCGGGATGTGATGCTTGGGTAATGATAGCAGACGATTTGTCGACGTGATGAAAGTGGTGAAAGTGGTGAAAGTGATGAAAGTGATTTGATCAAGACAACGAGAGTGCTGAAATGTCCTCTTTTAAGCACAGCCGTACCCCGTGAGAGACTGAATGCTAACAGTTTTCACCTTTCATGTCGAAGCTCAGTGGCTGTCATCTAGTCTCTGGCAGTCATTGCGACAGTTTCGTTACTGGCTGGACCCTTGTTGTACCTTAAACTTGGCAACAGTCCATGATATCCCTGAATTTGAATTGTCGTTAATGGTTTCTAAAGGCCTGTTGCGCTGTTGCGCCATTGGCTATACTCTGTGACCGTCCGTCTTACTCTGACGCATGTCCGCATCTTAACCTCTCATTCCCTGCATTGCGATGGTTGCGCTATTGGCTGGACCGTCGTTTGCCTCACAATGCCCACCTGGTCTGTGATGTCCCTCACTTTGGGCTGACATTGGCTGTTTTCTCCGCCACAAAGTGAGACAACTTCATTGCGCTGTTTCGCCATTGGTTGTACTTTGTGGCTTTGCGTGTCACGTCTTGATGCAGGATCCCTGCATTGCGACGGTTCCGCTATTGGTCAATCTGGCGTCTGCCATTACAGGGCGTTTCGGCCTTAGGCATATCCGCTTTAAGCATAACAAGGCTCTGCTGATTATGATTATCTCTCCCCTCTGTGACTTCATTCATGCCATCTGAATCCCAACCGAGAAGGTTTAGCATGCCAGTTTCCACGCTCAGTTGCCCGCCGTGCCGTAAAGCAAAGAAAAAGGTAACAGGTTCAACATACTCATCACTACAAATCCATCCTAATATGTCTCTGGAACAAGTGCAACCTAGGGGATGCTGGTGTACAAACCCCTTGTCAACGATGCTCCGAAAAAGGACTGCAAAGTGAATGCACAGGACTTGTGCTTACCGAAAAAGCCCAGGCCCGAAAAAGGAAAATTGCAGAAACCAGCATCGATGATGAGAAGGCCAGTGACTATTTGTAAGTTTCTGGGTTATGTTTGCTATTACTTAGACTCTGAACTGACATAGTAAGGTCACTAGAAGTCTTCTGGCTGGAGCGGTTGACGCAATACTCAAAGTCTACACTCGCCATTTATAGAGAAACATGCGATCTACTCGAGCTGGAATATAATAAACAAGATGGCGTTGATGAAGTACTTATACAGATCGAAGACCATAGAGCACTAGCTGTGCCTAAAATCGAAGCCTGTGCAAGTACTTCATCTTTAGCGGCTTCGCGTTACTTTTCATCGAAACTTTCCAGCACTTGGTACACCCGTGCTGGGGAAGAAGGCGTTTTCTGGCTTAGTGAGTTTGTCGGCGAAACGGAAACCACATTCCCCAAACCTCAGCCTCACCAGCACGCCAGCCTTTCCCTTTATGCCCTCAGAGTGCAAGAAAGTCGACTCCTCCAGGATTCGAGACTCCTGTCAGAAGAATCTGAGCTGTCAGCTTATGCCCAGAAGTACGGTGAAGTGATTCAGCACCTTAGGACTATTGAAAAGTGCAGAGTGCTGCCATTACCTTGGACACACAATCTACTATCACTAATTGAAGTGAGACAACATAGGAGAAGATTAATCTCAAATATCCAAGCCACAGAGGAGGATGATATGTTTGGCCGATCTCTGCTACACTTGGCGCTTGATCTCGGTGTAGGTGACGACGCTGTACACCTGCTCAGCAGTGCCGCTAATGAGCCCGACGCCTGGGGTCGTCTTCCTCTACACATCGCTTCCTTCACTGGCTGTATTGATTTAGCCACACGTTTGATCTACGGCCAGAAAGAAATTCAAATAAAGGATGCACACGATTTGCAGCCTCTCCACTATGCTAGTGCTGCTGGGCATGTGGACATTGTGAATCTGTTGATTGGCAAAGCTGAAACTGACCCAGAAGACGGGTATGGCTGGACACCTTTCCTTTATAGTGTCAGGAACGGACATGTAGCAACAGCTACTGTGCTTCTTAATAATGGGGCTAATATTGAAATGCATGATCATCGTCTCTGGACACCACTGCTGCATGCTATCGACTGTGGACGATTGGGCATTGTTGGCTTGCTCCTGCATAAGGGCGCCCAGGTCAAGCCAATGATGAAAGTTTACAAGCGCATTTCACAGCCCTTGAGGGAAAGACATCTTGGCGTTATCAAGCTGCTTCTTGAACACGGCGCGGTGGAGGAGATTCGTCGTTTCAGTAACGAAAATCTTCTACTTTGGGCTGCCAAGAAGCGAGATCATCGCCTCTGTGGTCAACTCATTCTTCACAAAGTCTTTCGAACACCCATCTCTACTAACGGTATCACTGCGCTTTCATATGCCTCTGAGGGAGGAAATCACGAAATCGTGGTGGAACTGCTCGAAAACGGAGTGGACCCTAACGAAAGGTGCAGCGGTCGTGAACTACCATTGTCATACGCTGTGGCGGGAGGACACGTAAGTGTCACGAAAGAGCTACTCAAACACAACGCCGACCCAAATGCAAGATCTGGTATAGATATGGATGGTCAAATGATTCTCTTCAACGCATTTGAACTGCGAAACCCGGATATCATTGACCATCTTGTTGCTTGGGGAGCCGATGTTAGCGCCAACGGCTCTCGTCTCTAAACGCCAATCTTCCCTACTATTTTGAATGGGCATCCAGGCGTTGCTGAAAGCTCATAAATAGGATAGCAAATCTCAATGTTTGAATAAGCTGCCGCTTGTGATTGCTCGGGAGAGGAAAAACACGGAGGTCGCAGATTATGTATCAAGTCTCCCTGGCATGTTATAAATACAGCAGGGGTAGTTATTACGACATACTAAAATATCGAGATCGTTTGACAGAAACGAGCAATGCTTGAAAAAGATCAAATGGTCAATACATAGACTCCACTGTTGAGCTGTCATGCAGTGCAAAGTAAACAATCTGATACATTACACTCTAAAGACCTCAAACTCTACCCCTACAGGCGATATGCACACCTCATTGGCGGTATCTGAATTCTACACCCCCGAGGTTTATCATCATATATATATTCCTCCCGAGCGATTACGTTTCCCTCCTTATCGTTCGTGAGAAACTTGGCCTGTCTTCTATACCTGACTGTACCATCCTGCTCAGGAGATAACTTCCAACTCATGTTTTATCGGAATACCGAAACAGCGCCTCTCCTCCGGCGGTACAACAGCACTGACCAGCTCAGCGGTATCACCAAGTGATATATTATGTTCAAGCTCGATAAGTCGTCTCCCAACTCTATACAGAGTCCCCACGTCAAACAGACCCTCTTTGGCCGTTCCAAGCTGCGCCAGTAAGGATAATGCCGTTTGACGAAGTTTCAAGTCTCGACACTTGAGGACAATGAAGAATAGCATCGGTAGCCAACTCATTTCGAAGCTGAAGCTTGATTGTGGTATACGTCGTTGGCCTGGTGCTGTTGATATGAGAAACGCTTCTTCTGCCAAGTTTACAGCATCGCGGAAGATATCGATATGCTGATCCCACCACATTTCGGTATGCGAGCTTTGCTGTTGGACGTATATCCTAGCCATTTTGTGCTTGAAACGCAGTCCGCATATGGCGTATTTATCCACTGTTGCATATGGGGGTAATTCCTGCTCCAGGTCGTTCATCTTGGAATCCCATTCATCCAACAATGAAGCCAGCGCAGTCCTATCATCATTGCCATCGTGCAGGCAATCCAGTATCCGAACCATCAGATCATCAATCACTACCTGCGCCTCTCGCGTATCGTAAAACTTCGCAGGCATTGGTGTCTCAAACCCGATGAGCTGCGGGAGAGGCGTAGGTAGTTTGCCGCCGCCGAAAAAGAATGGCATTATTCTCAGACGTCGGAATATAGGAACAAGATACTGACACATCCATTCCGGACGAGGAGAATTATTTAGTATCATAATGCCATGACGACAATGCTGCATTGAGGCGTCAAAGTCTCCCTGTAGACACTCGATGCAAATGAAGAGCACGCAGAGCACTAGTATCATTTGCTCATCACTAGATGACTTGACATGCTTGATAGCAGAATTATAGTGATCAACAGCAAAAGTGCTGCCACAGACCTGCCGGGTGATACGAGACCCTTTAGCGAATTCCTCATAGAGCGAGCTGATGGACAGAACAGCATGGCGCATGGTAGGCTCAAAGTGGCTGAACTGCATGACCAGGTGCGTCCAGAAGTAAGAGTCAGTAGGACCCGAGAGAACCGGCCCAACCATTTCAGTAAAGAACTGGAACGCTCTGCCTTCTCGCTGATCGCGCGCGGATAGTTGGTTGGGGCGGTAGCATGTCAGGCTAGCTGTGCCTTGATAGCCGCCACAGACGCGGCGCGACGATAAGCAGCGCTTACATGAGGGCTTGGCTTCGTCGCATTTGATCTTCCGGGCTCTTTCTCATTAGTTAGTACACGGAGTAGCTAGCGGGAGTCAGTGTAACGCACTTGCAGGTTCGGCAGCCTGTCTTGACGTGGCGACGAGAGGTTGGAAGTGACATCTATGGGGCTGTACCGAGGGATTGTAAGTGATGGGTTGGTAGAGATGAGAATGTCGAGTCGGGCGAGCAACTCGTTGGCTTTGACGAGAAGATAATTTGCTGTGAGAGATTGATAAATGGATCCCAGCTAGGCCCAGGTCGTTTTAGTGACACAGAACGCGTGGATCGGCATTCTGCCATGACGATCATGCAGTGGGGCTGTTCCGAGCTTTTTGGCCAATAGTAGCGTGGACTGCGTATCAGTTTGTGGATGGTAGACATCAAATGCCGAGCTGAAGCGGTCATGAAGCATTATAGTCAAGCCATTATCATATAAATAGTAAAAAGTATAGTTATAATTGTTCCCCAAAATAAGCAACAGCTAGTATTAATCCTCTACCTTTTAGCTCTGCTTCAGCTCCTCCACCTACTTCCATCCAGACTCAAACCCCTCCCCTCGCACGTAAAGTTCATCCTCATCAACCCCCGCCACGGCCATATCATGTAGAATATCCTTTATATCACGCACACGCTTGTCAATACCCTCAATAACCTTCAAATTCGGCAACCTGTCATCCTTTTTAGCCAAAAGCTCATCAATATGCTCGTCAACATCCGGATTTTCACCCCGTGTATACCCATAGAGGCAGAGATACTCTAGGGAAGGCGGTAACATGTCTACCAGTCTGAAAGGCGCGGGTTTCTCAAGTCGGTAGGGCGGTTCTTTAGATCGAAACGGTGGTTTCCACCAATCATATTCCCCGAGGAGTGGCATGATGCTGATGCTCAGATGCGTGAGGTGAGGAAAGTCGTGTAATGACCCAATGGTCGGTGCGTACTCTTTGCCAGTTTCCATCTTGTGCCCAGTACTGATCTTTCTATCCAAAGCCAACCTATCGCGTCCATACGAATCGAGCTGGTCTGTCATATCCCAATCAGTCCCGTCATCTTCTCCCTCCTCATAGTTATTGTCAACATCCCAGTCCAGCGCATTTGCCCCAGCGCCTGCATCAACGTCAATATCAAGCACTCTCAATGAGTTTCTATGCGCAGAAAGTGCCTTTGCGATATAAAACGGTTCGCTAGAAGTATCTGCCCCATCACGAGTCCATAGGCCACCAATCGACAGCTTGAATTCCTCAAGCGCCTTGGGAATCGATATCATGACACTGAGGAAGCTGGGAGAAATATCGCAGTGGGTAATCTCCAATCTCTTCATGTTTCCCGTCCCCGGAACGAAGAATGTGCGGTCCGCCTGATAATCGCACATCCCATCCATAGCCACTGATTCAAGAGCTGGGAGGCGATGTATCAACTGGGTGAATCCTAGAATATCGAACGCGGTGTAAAACCTCTCGTCGCTTTGAGCGCCTGCAAAGAAATGGACATGTTTCAGCCTCTGAAGTGGAGGACTCTTCATCTGTCCATAGTTCGCTTTGAGCATATAGTCCACAACAGGTTGTTGGAGGTGTTCGGCAAGATATAGCGTGGATATATTCTCGCAGAGCGAAAAAAGAAGGATTATCATGGCGATTGCAAACTCGCTTTCCTTCTGAAGTTCAAACTCATACTCGCGACGCTTCCAACTAAGGATCTTATCGACCTGATCAGCTGTTTCGTCGCTCATTTCTAGGCGACGAGCATATCGTCGTAGTCTTATCTCTGACGAGTCGCCTAGTTCTTCATATCCCATCGAGGTCGGCAATTCATCGTAATGCGGTAACTTGGACGTGAAGGCATAGATCCATGGCGTTGCGTCGATGACAACCTCTGTAACCGCTTTTGCGCGAGTTGGGTCTTCAATGTAAGATTGCAAAAGGCCGTAGAGGCGCTTAGTGTCTTCCTTTGAGCTAATTTGTATACGTGAGTAGTTGGGAGGAACGTATATAGATCTGTACGCGTTTGCGCGAGTTGGGGAGGCATGATGAGGGAATTGAAGAAGTCGACGACGAAGAAGCGGTCGGCAATTTGACCATCCTGAGCGGACAGACTGGGGTATTCTTGGTAAAAGCATGTTTGCTTTTGGGGAGATGAGATCAACTGTTAATATTTACAGCTAACAGATGGTTGTTAGGAGAAATAAGCTGATGGTGCTGGTGGTATCGCTTATCTTGATAAGATAAGAAGATTATGACTCCAACTCCTCCTGGGTATTTGTAAAGACCTCATGACGCGGTAAAAAGCATCCTAAGACGGATGCTAAGTTACCTAAGTCTCTTTATTATTCAGTATCAAGGACCTGAGTTATCTTCCAAAGCTACTTAAATTCAGATCAAGGCCAGAGTTGGGATCTGTCTATACATTAATATTACAGGAGGTCTTGTAGACAGAAGATCTATCAGTCAACCAAGATATCCTGCAAGCCGCCCATCATTCCAATAAGCTTCTCCTTAGCCAGCTCTTTGTTGACCTTATTAATCCTAGTCTCAATCTCACTTCGACTTCTCGACAACTCCTTTGCAACTTCTTTCCACGACAATCCATTCTTTGAGTTAAATGCCTCGTGCTTGAGATCGAAGCCAGTTTCTCGACCCTCCGCCAAGTGCACGGTCTGCAGACTTCCATTGTGCTTACGAACCTTGCCGCCTACTATAACGGTCTCAACCTCTCTGACGCCTGCATGGCGGACGATAGCAGTCAATGGGTCATGGTCAGCTGCACAGCTGATTGAAGGAGAGGTCGTGTCGAAGATAACCAAGTCCGCCAACTTGCCCACTGCAATTGATCCAATGTCTTTATCCATGTTGATCGCCCGAGCGGCTTTGATGGTAGCCAAATTGAACGCTTTCTGCACCGTAGCCCGCATCTTCTTGGGATAGTGACCTTGTGCAAAAGTCGTCGAGTTCTGCATTCCTCGATCACTTGCTAGCGCCATCTGCATCTGATGCATCATGCTGACTGGTCCACAGGAGTGACAATCGGCTCCGAGGCATGTCAATGGGAGATCTTCCCGAAACGCTACTGGGTCTGCGCCTGATGCCATGAAGATTTCGGCATCGGGAGTTGAGACGATATAAGTCCCGGCTTCAGTGAGGAGAGCTGCTTGTTCTGGTGTTGTTCCGTTGCCGTGAGTAAGGAGGATATCAGGGCCGAGAAGACCGCTGGCTTGTAATTGCTCCGGCACCCGAGATTGTCCTATGTATACGGAGTATATGTCAGCGTGATATACTCAGCAGGGAAACTTCAGATGATACATACCTTTTGAGACTGGCCAGTGTCTGTAGTGGCTTGTAATAAGCTTCACTCCCGCATCTTTCACACGATTAAGCGTCTCAGAAATAACACTCTCCGTCAAGAAGTGACTGTCAAAGAAGAAACCCAACTGCACTCTCTTATCATCTCCAAACGGCGCCTTTGCAGCAAGAGAATCCATCTGGGGCAGCAGCCAGTCAGGTTGAGGGGAGCGATCAAGCTCAAACGAAGACTCTGTCCATTCTGCCGCACGTAATGGCATGACACCATGGCAAAATATGGACCGTATTCCAGACACCAAAGCAGCGCTCAGGGCTGCTGGGCCATGTTCGGGGCTGGACGCGCCGTGTGCATTATCAACAACGCATGTTGTTCCCGAGTCAAGGGCTTCAAGACATCCAGCTAGTTGACCCCAGAAGAAATCATCGGGCGAGAAGTTGAAGCTTTGAAAATTGGCTAATATACCATCAGCGGTTTGGCCACGGTGTTTATGGAAGGGTACTGGCCTTCAAGCATGTAGTCCAGCATTGTAGAGTCGCCAAGTCTCCCCTTCAATTGGCTCTGCCAAACGTGATGATGGGCATTGATGAACCCAGGAGCGATTATTTTACCGTCGCAGTCAACTGCGGAGGCATTTTGGGGTTGAAGATTGTGCCCGATCTCAACAATGCGATCACCATCGATCAAGATGTCGGTGTTTCTAAGGGCGATAACATTATCTTTCGCATCATGCTGCAGCACGGTGCCTTTTTGAAGAAGAAGCCTGACACCCATTATAAAGAATATGCAAATACAATGCCAAGAATAATCATCATCGTTTGTGTTGTGCGCGCCGACTTTCTTATACTCATCAATAAAAGTTCGGCCATCGGTGTATTCGGTGAATGTAATTCGGCACTAAGGGATTCTGAGGTGAAGGCCGGTGGATTCTCTTATCGATAAGACTGAAGATCGGCTTTGAAGTTCGGGGATATTGGGGGGTGACGTATGTCTTACCCTGCACTAAGAGCAGGACCATAATATCGGAGTCCCTTTGCCCCGACTGCCATCATTAGTTGTACGCAAAGTCAACGAAATCATACATAAGGTCATTTATATTATATGTTCTTGGGTTTGCTGGTGGACGAAAATATCGTTGCGAAGCGTGCGCGTAAAACACCGTAAATAATTAATTGTCTCATGTCCTTTCTGGACGATTCTTTGTACAAACGGTTTTACCTCGAAATAGGACAAGTACAGCAATCTGATAACAACTGCATATCATGCTTCTCTTTGACGCCTGCTTCGTCAAACACATGGCTCTGCTACTATGCATTATATGCTGTAACCTTTACGACTTCAGCTTGCAACTGCTACAACAGCCACATTTCGCGGAAGGATGAATAATTATCCACGCATCATCGCCTTGCTCAGTGGCGCTCATAGCACGAAAACACATTGATTGGCCCAAGCTCCATCCCACGAAGGCGACAAACGTGGCACCCAATGAATCACCAGCGATTCACTACCGGAGCGACAACTGACTCACTATCCAATCGGGCAATGCCGTCTCATGCTGCAGCAGCACGTTTCCAGCTCGATGATCAATCAGATCTGGATCATGGTCTATCTCGCAGTGGTGAACTCTCCCCCTCCCCCCCACGGATCAAACCGTATCAACGCCATCGTCAAAACGGCATGGCTCACGCCCAGCTTCGCAACCCTCACGTGTCGGCCAAGCCCGGCAGCAAATCAAACCGGCACTTGATTTTACCGACTAGACAGAAACAGGTTAATCAACTGGCCTCTAGAAGCATTCGAAGCTTTTTCGAAGCTCATCTAAACGAAAAATGGATTAGGTCGTATTTTACATACCTCGTGGCTAGTTCAGCAGAGGAGCAGCAGGTCAGCTCCGGAGTCTTGTCTCCAAATCTGCTCGTCAGTGCGCCAAGACCCCATGGGCAGACATTCAGGGTGAGAGTGCCCCCTCCCTCTCCATCGCCCCCAGCTTCTCAACTTCCCTTGGGCCGGCATTCCCCAGCTCTCCCCCTTGTACCTAATTCAGCTCATGCGGGATATTTAATCCAACGCGTATTTTTTTAATGAAGGCAACTATCATTCAATGACAGCTTCACGTTGGGGGAGCTTGGACCTTGGTGAGACTAATGCGCATTGAACGGGCCGGTTATGAAGAGATCTTGTGGCGTTCGAGTCAGTCTAGCTCTCGACAATTTCGTCTGATGCCTCGTAGCCGAGAAACTCAAAACCAGAGATCCACGGAGATAACCCTGCTGGATGGCACGCAGTCACGTCGAAAAACAACTCAATTGAGAGACCCAACAACCCTCATCAAACTTACCGTTGCATTGGGAGACGAATCATTCCATTCTGACTTCTCCAACATAAACTTGCTTGGCCTATGACACTGTCAACCACGACAAACATTTGCGAAAACACCAAGGCCAAAGCAGACAAGCATCATCAGCCTTGTTCTGCTAAATCAGGTTGATAACGCCGATGCCGGTCGATAGCGCGGTCTTGGTACGAAATTAAAGGCCCGAATACTGCAGAGCCTTGCTAACCCGAGTGAGCGAATTTGGAGAGCTTTCCCACGCTGCTGCCTGACTCTCCCACGCATCCAGACGTACCATCACAGACCCGGGAGATCTACTGCTTGGCTTTCACTAAGCTTAATCAAGTGAGGTCTCACAACGGGCGTATTGTCGGTCCGATCTCCACCCATCTCTCCACAACGGCTCCAACGCTCTAAGCCCGTTGTCGTTACTGTTGCCCTTGGCGTTGGAGACGGTTGATGTGAGTGGTTGGAGAGCGGCGGGGGCCATGGTAGCTTGTTTTATGGTTCTTCCCCAGACTGGTCTGGATTGCAGCACACGGCTTAGGCGATGCCGCGGGATGAGAATTTTCGCAAAATTTGGGGTCATGGAGAAGTGGAGCGTCACTCGCGGAGTAGACTTTCTCTCCTCCACATCTCCAAGTTTTCTGCGTCTGGGGCATTGTGTTGGGGAAGTGGGTAGACCTCCCCCAGTAGCTTGAAGTTTATCGCTCCGACACTGGGGACTCCGCAGGCTAGCTGCGAGCGAAAAAACCAAGAGAAAGCTAGGCAGGCACTCTACTGGAGACAGAGCTAATTGCTGGTGTGGAGAGATTAGGTCGCGTCCAGAGGCGAAGAGATTTGTATAAAGAAGACCATCAACCACCACGAATATCTTCATTCTCATCATCACTCTCATCTTCTCTCATCTGATAGACAAGAACATCTTTTTCTTCTTCTCTCATCAACACCCACATTCCATCACAATGGCAGGCGGTGCTATTCCCACAGCGGCTCCCCAGCTCGCAGGCGGTTACCTGACCGGTCGCGCCCTCATCTTCCCCCTCTCTCTCGTCATCTCCCTCTTCTTCCTCTGGGGTTTCTCCTACGGTCTTCTCGATGTCCTCAACAAGCATTTCCAAACCGTCCTCGGCATCACAAAGCTCGAGTCCACTGGCCTGCAGGTCATGTACTTTGGTGGCGGTTACCTCCTCTTCTCTCCCATTGCTGCTGAGGTCCTCAAGCGACGCGGTTACAAGCTCACCATCCTGATGGGTCTTACTCTCTACTCTCTCGGTGCCGTTCTGTTCTGGCCTGTCGCCAAGTCTGCTGATAGCAACGCCAATGGTCGCGCTGTCTTTGGTGGCTTCTGCGCTTGCACCCTCGTCATCGCTTGCGGTCTCGCTACTCTCGAAACTGCCGCCAACTCTTACGCTGTCGTCATCGGCGCTCCTGAGTCTGCCTCCGCTCGTCTCCAATTCTGCCAGTCTTGGAACGGTGTCGCTTCCTTCATCGGTCCCCTCATCGCCTCCAAGTTCTTCTTCACCGGCGAGAACCAGAACAACCTCACCAACGTCCAGTATGTCTACCTCGCTGTCGCCTGTGCTGGCGCCGCCGTCGGTGTCCTCTTCTTCTTCGCCAAGCTTCCCGAGGTCAGCGAGGCTGTTCTTGAGGATGACCAGGCTGGCCACGTCGCTCAGGGTTCCATCTGGAAGCAGTGGAACATGTGGTTTGCCTTTGGTGCTCAGTTCTGCTACGTCGGTGCCCAGGTCACCATTGCTACCTTCTTCATCAACTACGCCCACGAGAACGGTGACATCACTACTGCCAAGGGTAGCACCATGCTGAGCTATGCTCTCATCACCTTCACTGTCGGTCGATTCGTCGCTACTGGTCTTGCTGTCGTCTTCAGCTCCGAGTTCATCATGGTTGTCTACTCTTGCTGTGCCATCGCTCTTACTGCCTACGTCAGCGCTGCCCCCAGAGGTATTGCCAGTGTCGGTATCCTCATTGCCATCTTCTTCTTCATGGCTCCCATGTACCCCACCATCTTCGCCATGGGTACCCGCAACCTCGGCTACCACACTCGACGTGCTGCTGGTATCCTTGTCATGGGTGTATCAGGCGGTGCCGTGTTCCCTCCTATTCAGGGCGCGATCGCTGATGCCAAGGGCACTCGAATCTCCTACATCGTCCCTACCATCGGCTTCGTCTACGTCCTCGGCTACGTCGCTGTCAACTGGGTTCGCGGCGGAATCACATTCCTGGCCCCCAAGGCTGAGGAGTCTACTGTCGATGAGATCACCTACGATAACGAGAAGAACGATGTCATTATTGAGCAGCGCGAGAAGAAGCACAACGAGATGGCTTAATTGGATCGGATCGGATCAGGATGGATGATTATATAGAGGCGTTCTAGATGGACCTTTCACGATAGATGCCTGGCGCAAAGATATACTATGAGAACCAGAATTTAATGTTTTATGACCAATTACTCAGAACAATTCATTTGATTGTGACTTATGCAGTGTTGTAGCCCAAATGTCTGCCAATTTGGTGAAGCTTCACGATGTTGCGACATGTCATTAGTCATGAGCGCGGGGACCAGATCGCGACATGACTCAAGCACCACAAAAGTGGAGAAACAACCCTACTGCAGCCAATCGCCCCTGAGCCACCACTGTACACGCCCGTCGCGACACCGAGGCGACACTACAAAGGAAATACACGAATAGGTAGGGAGTATAGACTATGTGTATACATCTTGGCTCTTGACAGGCAGTTACTGTCTGTTGATTTCATGTCTGTATTTGTTGGTCAAGAAGAAGCGGCCGCTCCCTGTTTTACTGGCGTTGATGCAACTGTGAAGCCAACAATCACATTCCATTCAAGCACAAGCGCTGGAGGAATATCTCCAGGGCATTCCAAAACCGGCATTCCGGCAGCCACAATCTCTTATCGCGAGCAAAATCTGCCGAAGAGAGTTATAGTTGCTTTATAGACAAAAGTTAAAGAAACTCGAAGACCGTCACCCAGGGCCACGGTGATAAGTTATTGGCTTGCGTTGTAACAATTATCAGGCCTGGACCAATACTATGAACTGATCCAGGTGGAACTAAGCTGAATATAGCTGGCTGTTTGAAAGGACAAATCTTACGACTGTTCTGAGGAGTATATATACTCCTCATTCAATCTTTCCATTTCTTCTTCATCTCACAAGCGCATTGTTTCTGCTTATAACTATATCTCACCCAACACAAACCAAATAGTAGGCACAACACATAAGACTGATATTCCATACACTAATGGGACTTCACAGTGCCCTCCCACGACCTTTATTTGATCAATGTTCAGATGCAAAATACTCTGAGTATTCCATCAACTATGGTATTCAGCCCCAGTCTCATAACACTAAGTCCTGAGGCTTCGAGGGTAATGTATGGTGTTATAAACGAAATTGCGCTTCCGGGGGCGCCTATTGAAATGGCTGGACCCTATATATGTACAAGAGGTTCACTTTCGAGTGTTTACGGAATGTGGATTGGTAAGTTCATTAGGCCAGCACTCTATGCCTGAAACTTTTATTCACAGGTTCTTCGCCCAAAGGCCCCGATGCAGTTCCTGGCGGTTACAGTATTGAATTCAGTGTCGTTGGGCCTTATCCCCCACTCGAGGACGGAGCAGAAGCCCCCTCGGGCAGCACTGAGGCTGGAACTAAGATAACATGGACAAGTGTCAACTTCGATCAACTCTCTCCGGAAGAACTCAAATGTGCCGAGGGAAAGCTCAGCAAGGCCGAGTCCGATAATGGAAACAACGAAGAGGTAATTTGCCCTGCATTCTAAGATAAAATATGCTTTACTAATGAAACATTTAGGCTTTGAAGCTCATCAAGATCTGGCAGACACAAGTGTCGGATGCTTGGAAGAAGTATGAGTAACATGACACATAGTCATGATCCAAGACACGACAGTCAAGTTTTGGCCGTGATGAGAACGACACCCCACGCTGAAACCGTAATCAATGCTTGGTATATGATGTATATTAGAATGATCCTCTCGTCGATCTATTCTTTCGCAGGACTGCAGTGTCCCAGCCGTTGCTGAACGCTTGCATCCAACCCGTACTTGGTCCTAAGATACGAAGAGTTTAGACAATATGAGGATACCTTAGGATAGTTTATCATAAGTTTAGTATAGTCTTTGACCAGTTGATCTTTTGTTCCTTATCTGGTCTCGTGTTTTAGTTCAATCCCTTGTTCAAGGACTGAAATTCTGTATAAGGTCCTGTACTCAAGTGAACCACGGATGATGAGATCTCACCAGTACCTCCAAAGAAACCCCGGCTCAATCACACCGTCGAGAACACTGTCGGATCTGACCTTCGTCTGCCGCTGGTCGTCGATGATGAAGCTCTGGAACTCCCGCGCGCCTTGAAGTACCCGCTTTGGATGGAGCTACCTGACTCAACTGAGAACTCCGACAACGAGATCCTGGCAACGGATGGTCTCTCTTGTTTGTTGGCAACGAAGCTAGATTTAAAGCACAGCGTGGAGAGCACAATGGGTGACGATCTTGTGCTGGAGCTGAAGCCCTATGAAGAGGTTATTGAGAAGCAGGAGAGTCTGTACGGGAATGCACCTTGGGTGGAGATATCGGGCTCGAATGAAGACTCAGAGAGCGAGGAGTCGGTGTAGTTAAGGCCCTGATCTGTATTGAACAGGAAGTTAGATGTGGAGCAACTTGCGGTACTTATTTTTCTGTATATAAAGCATATATACCTTAGTAAACCCTATTTAACTAGTAATGCAGCGTAGGTCTTATTAGATTAGTTAGTCTAGGTAGCCTTATTACTAACTATTATGCTACAGGGAGCTAAGTTAGCCTTATAATAATTTTACTACTTTCTACTATATAAAACATATACCTATAAGAACTACAGTAAGTATAATAATAATATTAAAGACCCTAACCCTAAGGCCTAATACTAGTATATAAGCTATAATTAAAGCTATTTCTAATAGCTATACCTTAAATAAAGACTTTACTAGTAATAATAATAAATCCTTTCCCTTACTAATAAATATACCTTCCTTAAGCTTAAGACTAAGGACTTTATTACAGGTATTACTGCTAGTACTATAGAAAAAAAAGACTTTATATTTAAGGTAGAATAATAATATAATTAGGATAATACTAGAGTTATACTATAAAGCTTATAATAGGAATGAATTTAGTAGTAAGAAGAAGGTAAATATAAGGCATATATATAAGGATATAGCTGCTAGGCTATTAGAAAAGTTTACTAGTACCTCTTTTAACTATAAAAAGGTAAGGAAAAAGATAAAAGACTTATTAAAGATTTAGAAGGTATTCCTTACTATTAATAGTACTAGCAGTACTTCCTATAATTATATTACTAGGTTTATCTTAACTAGTAATAAGCTATAAAAGTACTTTATTAATAAATATACTATACTAGCTAAGTATTTTAAATAGTATAGTCTATAATTTTATTATCTTTATAAATAAGCTTTTAAAGGTAAGGAAAAGGTTAGACTTACTGTAATTAAGGCTATAGATACTAAGGGGCTTATAGTATTAACTACTAACTTAGTTTTAAGTAATAAAAAAGATTAGAAAAAGGAAGAGAAAGAAAGAGAAAAAATAACTATTATTAGTAGCTATAAAGTAATAATAATACTAGGGCTTCCCTCTAGCTAAGCTATAGTAATAGAAATAGCAAAAAAATATTACTATAATACCTTTATTACCTTATTATAAAATACACTATTACTGCTAATAAAGAGGCAATATAGAGCTATTTCTAAAAGTCTAAGTTAGCTTAGAAATATTAGCAAGACCCTTATAGCTATACTTACTACTTATTAGGACTACTATATAGTTAGGGCTATAAATATAAAAGCTACAGTCTGTAATATTAAAGATTGTTTTAAGGAAATAGTATTAAAAGATAAAGTTAAACTATTTAAGGACTGGTTATTTTTAAATTGGAATAATATTATAAGATATAATAGTTTAGGGAATAAGTATAAAAAGAGACTATTTAAAAGATATACTATAAAGGCTTTAGCAGTAACTTTAAGAAAAGATATATATATAGGCAGTTTTCTAGGTAGTTTAGTAGCAGTAGAGAATAAAATATATATTTCCTAGTTTATAGAAATAAATAAATAAAAAAAAGCTATTAATTTAGTTATAAAATAGTATAAAATAAAGAAATCCTTAATATAAAAGAGCTAGGTTATAGATTAAAATAGTAATATAGCTATATGTAATATAGCTATGTTAGTATTAAGGCTAAAAAAAAGCCAGCTTTATAAGTTATAATAACCTGGATTAGGGTATTAGCTAGGTAACCTTAATTAGACCTTATTACTTTATTATAGTA